TCTCCTATAAAATAATGTCAGTAGCATTTTCTAGTTCAGAAGTTTCATTTCCATATAATTTCTGAAACAGAAAAATCAACATTAAAGCAAAAATCATTAGTAAACCCCAGATTTGACATTACTGTGCTGTCAGGTTTTCTTAATTGATTCTCTCATTGTTTCTTTTTGTCCTGGTAGGGTACAGTGGCAGGGCACTTTGGTCTGTTTCTAACTTGAGTTTTCTGACTGGAACTCTTCTGCTATAATATGAATTCCTCACGAAAGGCTAGAATTTTCTGACAGTTAACAGTTAAAGGTAGGGTTTAACCTATCTTTTAAAAGAAACCCAGCTGTTAGCTGAGTGTAGTTTTAGGATGTTCCCAGGTTAACCTCCTTGGAACCTCCTCCCCACACCTGCCAAAGAAGTAAATCAGTTTAGGGCAAGATTTAGGGAAAAGAAAGGAAGCCATAAATTGTTAATGTGGATTAGTCTCAGAATCCTGATGAACTTTCCGTTTTGACATTTAGAGATATCCTAACATGCTTCCTTGGTTAAAGATTAACCTCTTTTGTCTCTGAATCTGTTCCTATCATTGGGAGGAAAATAACTTGTTTCCATCCAGTTGACTCCAACCCATGGCAACTCCTCGTGTGTGTGAGAACAGAACTGTGCTCCATAGGATTTTCACTGGCTGACTCTTTGGAAGTAACACATAACCAGGCCTGCCTTCTGAGGCACCTCTGGGTAGACTCAAACTTCCAGCCTTTCGGTTAGCAGTTGAGCACCTTAACCGTTTGCACTACCCAGGGACTCCTGGAAGGAAGGACATCCTAATTTTATCAACCTTTTAGGGGCTCAGTTTTGCCCTGGTCTCCACATTCTCAGAGAGTGCTATTAACAGAATTGAGAGAAGAATCCAGATTTGCTACTATGCAAGAGATGCCTTTTGGAAGAAATGCCATTGGACCTTTCCCTTCCATGGCTGGATGCCAGGCCAGTTCAGCCACAGGGGAGACCAGTTTTGCGTGTCCATGCTACAGCTTGTTACTTGGACTGCCTTCACTGTCCCCTTCCCCATCGTTGGATTTTCTGTAGATTGGCTCTGTAGATTTGTCTCCTTGGACTCATGGTTCTTCCTTAAGTTTTTAAAAGGGAACATCTGTGTATCTATTTTAGTTCCCTATCTGCTACCAAGCCTTACTCCTCCAGTTTCCTTAAGCAATTTTAACAAAAAAAGCTACAGGACAAGATGGACTGTAATCTTAGCCAAGAAAGCAACTGAAAATCCCCAGATTTGGCTATTGTGTGCTGAAATGCCAACCCCCTTCTGCATCCATGACATGCATATAAATTCAGGAGCCCTTTAGAAGTCTTCAGGTCTGGAAAAGCACAACACGCTGCTAACATCCTGGATTTGAAACTCATTCGGGAATGTTGTAGCCATGTGTCTCACCAGCTAAAGCTGGGCAGAATTTTAAGAAGGAACGGGGCCCGTTCCTTGGATTGTGTCCAGTGTTTTAGCTTTGGAGGGAATTGAGTCAGCAGTAGGAAGCCAAAGATAACATCCAAGAGCAGCCTGACCTATGAGATGAAGATGGAGCAGCTCAAAGTCACATTTTCAGTAAATAATAGATGCCCACTATGTGCCTAACGCTAAGAATACAAAAGGGAAAAGATAGCTGCCTATGCTCAAGACTTCACAATAAAGGAAAAATGTGGAAAAACAGGAGAATAAGGTGGGCTGTAATCAAATACTACAGAGTACACTGCTTAGCTAGGAAATCTGTGTGATTGGTTTCCCAGGAACTTCCAAGCTACTATTTGCAAAGTAACTAGTAAATAAAGGAAAGATTATTTTTATTCCCTCCCTGCAATTTAATCAATCATAGCAGGAAGGTAGAGTGTTGCTGTTCTTGGCCCACTCAATTTGGACAGACCTCAGTGCTTAGGCCCTGAGGGACTCATATAGTGAGTTTGGGGACTGAAGTTTCATAGCTTGTTCCTATTCAGCAGCCTCTGAAACTTGTCTGGAGAGGTGATCATGCCTTTCCCTCCACCTTTTTATAAGTCTCTTATCTCCTAAGGGAAGTAGCTAGGAGCGGTTAGAATCCAAAGCACATGATCTATAGGTGTTTTTCAAAGTGTGGCCTCCAGACCAGCAGGATAAGCATCACCTAGGAACTTGTTAGAAATACAAATTCTCAAGCCCCAGCCCAGACCTACTAAATCAAACTGAGTATGAGCCCAGCAATCTGTTATAACAAGCGCTCTTGGTGGTTCTTGTAAGCTATAAAGTTTGAAGACAAACCTATAGGAATGGCCTGTGACACTTGTAGGCCCTAACCAGTAATCACTTACCATACAGTCGATTCCAACTCACAGTGACCCCATGTGTGGGGCTTTCAGTGGCTGATTTTTCTGAAGTAAATTGCCAGACATTTCTTCCAAGATGCCTCTGAATGGACTGGAACCTCCAAGTTCACTTTTCGGTTAGCAGCCAAGCACATTAACCTTTTGCACCATCAGCCAGGGACTCCTTTTAGGCCCTCAGGCAAAAACCAAACCTATCGCCATGGAGTGGATTCTGTCTCATAGTGACCCTGTAGGACGGTAGAACTGCCCCGTCAGGTTTTAAGACTGTAACTTTTACAGAAGCAGACTGCCACATTCTCCCACGGAGCAACTGGTGGGTTCGAACTGCTGACCTTTTGGTTAGCAGCCGCACACTTTAACCACTGCACCACCAGGGCCGATACACACTCAATCTGGGTTGAATTATTCAAACCAGATACATAAAATAACATTCTTCTAATAAACTGTAGGAAATACATCCCATGTTCACTGGTTAACATGGAGTAAATGTAATGGATGTTCATCTATTCCAAGCCTGAGGAAGAAGAGCAGAACAAGAATAGCTGCAAAATAGAGAAATTTTCTCACTACTGTCTCCCCACCCCCACCCCAGGGCCAGTGCCACTCTGGCTGTCCACCCTGGCACACTGACCTGCCCTCCTTCACACCCTGCTTGTGTTCTCCCACCTTTCTCCTCAGATCTCATTCCCAGTTTCAGCTTTCTCTGTTCCATTCTCTGGACTGTGGTGTTCTTTAGAATGTAAACCCAAGAGACCAGTCCTATTCTAGCATCTTGCTGTCCACCATATGCAAGGCCCTCGATGCTGTTTAACGAGCTTCTGCGTGCTCCGTGTGACATCTCCCAAAGCTGCTGTTGCAATTTATTTATTCAGCAAACTTTACTGAGCTCAAGCTTGGCTTTCCAGTGCCTTTAAAGCAAGTTATCAATCTAGGCCACCCATTATGGGTTATCTGGCCCTTAAAGAATATCATGTACCTGGGCCCCACCCCCTGAGATTCTGTGTTAATTGGTCTGGGGTGTAGCCTGGACAGCGGGATTTTTTAAAGCTCCTCAGGTAATTATATCATGCAGCCAGTATTGTAAATCACTGTCCAAACCAGTGCCTTGCAAACTTCAATATGTGTATGAGTCAGCTGGGCAGTCTTGCTAAAATCAGATTCCCTGGTTCTGTAGGTCTCCGGTGGGGCCTGAGTCCTGCATTTTTAGCAATCTTCTAGGTGCTGGTAGTTGCTAGGCTCTCCAACGCTAATTATCTTACCTTGTTTTTTAAAGAGGGAGGCCACCTGACATATTCCTCTGAATTTTGTGTGTTTTCCAAACCATCTTTTTTTTTTTTTCCTGCCAGTAACATTCTTGCCAAAGCTGACTCTTTTACCTGTGCTTTGGTTTCCAACCTTTCCCATCTACTTCACGACTAAATCCCATCAGTGATTCTCTACCTTTCGTTGGATTCTTCTCTGCCTGTAAATGTTGCTTCAGTTTCCACTGTCTAAATAGGGCATATTTATGCTGCCATCCAAGGTGTCCTGGTGGCATGATGGTTGAGCTCTAAGCTGGTAACTGAGAGACTGGCAGTTTGAACCCAACCAGCAGCTCCACTGGAGAAAGACGTGATGATTTGCTCCCTTAAAGATGACAGCCAAGAAAACCTTATGGGGCAGTTCTATTCTGTCACATGGGGTTGCTATGAATTGGAATGGAGACGCTGACTCGAAGGCACCCAACTACAACGTATCACTATCCAACTCCTTACAACATAATTTGCACTTATTTTCTGTACTGCCAGGCTCCTGCAATGAGGCTTCTCTACCTTTCGGGAACTGCTAACTTAAAGCGTCTTCCAGATAACATTTCTCGGCTTTGTAGCGTTTCACACAGTCAGCCGCCTCTTGAAACTGGTCTTCATTGGTGCCTCGAGGCCACATTCTCCCAATTGTCTCTTTCATATTCTTGTCTTCCATATTTACCTTTCTTCTCTTGCTTCCCTGAAGTAGGCATTTCCTAAGATGCAGTCCTTTATGCTCCTCCGTCTGGATGATTTCATTTTTACCTGCAACTTTGTCATTCTTTGCAGTTGTCTCAAATTTCCATTTTCAGTCTAAACTTCTTTGCCATATTCTGTTCACCCTGTCCAAATTCCTGTTTCAGACATGGCCACCTAGACATCCTGCTGCCACTGTTTTGTGATTGTTTTGCCACTTTTTTTTTTTTTTATTACTGAGGTGGTTTTAATTTTATTTCCAGACTATTTCCCTACATCTTGCCTATTTTTTAAAAATCCTTTCTTAACCATTAGTGTAATTCCCATGCAATGCTGACCTTCTACCCCTTGCCTCAAGACCATCCATTTAAATATAACCTAGTAGCTTCTTTGCTTACCATTCCTTCCTCTACACATTGTCTTCCCCTCTTTTGCAGCTACCACTTTAAAAAAAACTCTGTGTCAACAGCCAAACTTTTCTTCATCTTCCTGCCCTCTCACCCACTCCTAATGCTCCTAGTTAGGGTGATAATATATCTTTCTCCTATTAGTCCATGTTTCAAACCTGGTATCTGTCCCTGTCTTGTTTAATCATTTGCCAAACCCTTCTTCACAGAAACTGCTCACATCTCTTCCCTCTTGTGCTCATTGTATCTCTCGCCTAGGTTGTCATCTCCCTGGTCCTGTCCAAACCTCTTGGCTGCTGCCATAAACCTGAACCCTTTGAGCCCCTACTCAGCATCCTGTATCAGCTTTCCATTGCCCACCTGAAAAAGGAAAAAGAAAATAATCATTTAGTGGACACCCTTTATATCCAGGCACTGTTCTAAGTGCTCTACAAGTAGGTATGAGTCCCGCTTCATAGATGAGGAAGCAGGCATAGAGAAGTAACTTGTTTAAGGTCACACAGCTAGTAGTAAAACAGATTCAAGCCAGTTCAAAAATAGCCTCCCCCTTAGCCCACTTTTAGCCCCTTACTGATTTCTCATAGCAGTCCTATGAAGTAGATATCCCATCTTCTGTCGAGGGAGGAATAAAAGCGCTAAATTTCATAGGTTGTGAGATCGTTAACAAGTTGAGTGCTGATCTTTGAACCTGAGATTCTGATTCCAAAGTCCATTTCATCTGGTTCCTCATCTCTTCCCAAATACTAGGTTGGCCTGACAACAAGGTCCTATACCATCTGGATCTAATATGACTGACCAGTTTTAATCTGCCCTCTATTGCCACTGAAGAGCAAGCTGGGTTTCAGTTTTACATCTCTGCTCCTGTTCTTTTAGTTCCTTCAACATTGTAGTCTTTCTGCAAACCCTAAATCAGTTGCTACTTCCCGAAACCTTCCCAGCTCTCCAAGCTGCAGCCGTGGGTTCACAACTCAACTGTAACATTCTTGAGGGCAGGGAATGTGCCAAGTCAGCATGGGCCCCCCACCCCACCCCAGCCGAATGCGTGGTACCTGTCGAAAACCGACTGCCGTCAAGTCGGTTCTGACTGAACGACCATATAGGACAGCGTAGAACTGCCCCATAGGGTTTCCAAGGAGTGGCTGGTGGACTCGAACTGCCAACCTTTTGATTAGCCGCCGTGGCTCTTAACCACTGTGCCACTAGGGCTCCGAGTGCATGTTAGCCCCCGACAAATCAGTGCTAGAACAGAAAATGAATTCCTGCAGACGGTGGGCCTTGTAGGCCAGGAAATGCTATGAAGAAGTGCTGGTTCCTGCCTTTCAGAGCTTAAGACAGATATTCTTACTGAAATTATAGAATCAATGAATCAGTCAGTCACCATCAATTATAAAATTGTATGAAACTGAGCAGCACGTTAGCTTCTGGCAGCAAGTGCTCTTTGCCCAGTCTGCACCGCATTGATTTTCAGTTGTTTGTCCTCCCTGGTGGTTAGGCCTCTGAGTCCTGGTGAGTCTCCACTCACTCCCCAAGCTGCCTCGGTCAGATCTTAACCAACCTGAACTTTTGTCCTGGGCATACCAGCACCAAAGTAAACAGCCACCTGCTTGCCAGCTGGGGAGGTAGGGCTTGGCTGTGTAGTAGCCTCTGGGGTTTGATTCAAACCCAACCTGTTGGAAGGTTCAGCACAAGGAGGAAGAGAGGCTGGGGAACTAGAGCAGAGGAGGAGGGTTTAGCGACTGCCGACTCCTCCCTGCTGTCCCAAGGTGAAAGTGCTGCTGTGGAGATGAGGAGGGAGGGATACTAACAAAATCCAAGGAAAAAACTCAACACCGGCTGTGCAGGATTATAAACAAACACCTGCAGTTCAAAGTAATCTGGCCTGTATCTTGGAGTCCGGAAAAGGCAGAAGGTTCTTAACTGAAAGCAGGTAAGTGTATGTCTTGTTTGTATCAGGCTTAGAGGTGGTAGGAAAAGACCCCCTTTTTAGCAGCATCTCACCCTAGTAAACACTTTCCCACAGCCAGCGGAAAAGGGTCTCCCATCTCTCATTTGCTGTACGAGTAGGAAGTGGGTGGGCAGAAGGAGGTGGCCTCTCCCTGTCTATGGGGCATCCAAGGCAACATCTAAGCCAGGAAGCAAGTCATATCCTTGGCACCGAGTCAAGAACTGGCTTTTGGCTACTAGTGTGAGGGGCTTATCCCTGGGAGAACTGCTCACTCTGCTGATAGGAGGAGGTGGACAGATGGCCCTGACGGTCCTCATCCCTGAGCCTCGACCCCCACCCCACAGCTCCTCACAAATTAAAGAAATGAGGGTAGCTAAAGAGTATAACTGTCTATCTCCTGATAAGACTGACTCTGCAAAGGTAAAGGAGGTAGTCACCCTCATGGTTCATTGATTCAGCAATGTGTATTGAATGCCTCTGCACCAGGCCACAGGATTCAGCTGTCAGAGTGTCTTTCCCCTTAAGTAACTTAGAGTTTCCATGGGGCTAAAAGACAGTGGTGGTTAAGAGCTCAGGCTGCTAACCAAAAGGTAGGCAGTTTGAATCTACCAGCTGCTCCTTGGAAACCCTGTGGGGCAGTTCTACTCTGTCCTATAGGGTCACTAGGAGTCAGAATCGGCTCAATGGCAGCGGTTATAGGCCAGTAAGCAAGCAGTTGTAATACAACATAGTAAGTGCTATAACTGGGTATTAAATCACAGAAAAGGACTCCTAGCCAAAGTTTTGAGGAGTTCAAAAACGCCTTTTGGGAGAAAGTGACATCTGAGCTAAAGCCCAAAGAACAATTTATAACCCATCAGGTGTAGAGGAGGAAGAGTGTCCTAGGCGGAGGGGACAGCACACACAAGGCTTAGACGCAAGAGGCTATAACGTGTTCCTAGAAGTGAAAGAAGTTCAGCATGGTGGGCTGGGAGAGGGGAGGAGTGACTAGAGAAGAGGTTAACTATAGGGGGCAGATCCTGGTAAGGAGTTGGGAAACTCCTTAGAGCAATGGGAAGTTAGTGAAGCACTTGGGAAGTGCTTAAACAGCAGGCTGGACACGGGGCCCGGATTTGCCTGTTAGCCCACTTGGCCATGTTGTGCAGAATAGATGTGAGGGAAAAGGCTGGAGGCAGGAGCCGAGTGAGGAAGCTGCCAGGTGCTCCAGGCAATGGGTGATGCTGGTGCGGTCTAGCAGTGGCTGCCGGGAGGGGAGCCATTGATGGCCTCTAGAGAGACTTAGGACAGTGCTTTACCAACTATGATGAGGACTCAGTTTTTCCCTCAGTCCATATGGAACAATAAAACCTATTGCCATCAAGTCAATTCCAACTCATAGTGACCCTATAGGGCAGAGTAGAACTGCCATAGGGTTTCCAAGGCTGTAAATCTTTACAGAAGCAAAGTGCCACATCTGTCTCCCACAGAGCGGCTGGTGGCTTCAAACCACCAATCTTTCAGTTAGCAGCTGAGCACTTAACCACTGTGCCACCAGGGCTCCATGTATGGAACAATAGCTTTTGTAAAATACAAGAAAAATTAATTACTGGAAAAATATAATTAAAAAAAGATAAAATATAAGCCCACTTTTTTTATTAATAGATTCTGCAAGCAAAATACTCTGCTGAATTGCGATAAAAATTTCTAAACATTTACTCTCAATTTCTGTACTCATCACAGACCAGTACCAAACCACATGCCACTTTTCAGTGCCACTGGCTTCAGGAGGTAGAATTGACAGAACATGACAACTTTGAGGGGGCAAGGAGGGAGAATCAAGGATGGTGTTCAGATTGACCGGAATCGCTGAATGGATGGCAGTGCCATTCTCAGAGCTAGAGAACCAAGAGGAAGAACAAGAGAAGTTGTGTTAGATGTTGAGTGTGGGTGGACCGCTAAGGTGGCAATGTCCAGGAGGCAGTTAAGATTATGATCCTGGGTCTCGGGAGAAAGACAGCTGAAGATACTGTGGAGTCATCAGCAAGTAGAGGGTATCTAAGCCAGGAAAAGACAGGCTTGCTCAGGATGAGTGGGAAACGAGTCCAGGACCTTGGGCAGAACTCAGCACCAATGACCCAGGGGCACCAGTAGAAGCTGAGGAGCCACTAGTGAGAGCCACAGGAGTCATAGAAGTCCAGGGAATAGAATGTTTTAAGATAGGTGGAATAAAAAGTATTGTAATCTGAGGAGCTCAGAAAATGCTGGCCTGCAGCTCACCAGCTAGAATCATTTCTCTAAAGGGTTGTGTCTCTGCATGACCTTGTTCAAAATAGAATCATGATTAACCATCTATTAAGAATCAAACTACAATTTTCTCTGCTTCCAGAATTTTCTAGAATTTTTTTTCTATGTAAGTATTCTAAGAAATGGAACATTCATTATTACTAACAAAAAAAGAATTGATCACTCCCTAAGATCTGTAAATGAGCTCTCCTAATAAAGCAGACAGGATGAGTCACAGAGCAGATGTGTTCAAACAAGGGGAGTCCCTGTGGGATGGGGAGGAGGCCTGAGAAGCCCCTGGAATGCTTCAGTAAGTGTGATAAGATCAGTGATAAGAGGACTGTACTTTGACTCACTGACTTTCTCTCGGTTACCGCTGGGCATGCTTCTGAGGCCATGCCCAGTACCATCCTTCGCCACCTCCTTTGTTTGTCCTACTCTTTCAACCTTAAGTCCAGGCCCATTTTTCCTTTAAAAATCACTCTCTCAGCTAACCCTTTTGCCCCCCACCACCAGCACCCTAATCCTTTTCTTTCCACCACCCTAGTCCTTCCCTCTCCACCTCATTTCTTTACCCTGATGCCTTCTAACTGGCCTCTTACCCAAAGTTTCCTTCCCTCAGCTCAGCCCATTCTTCAAGATTAATTGTTCTCAATCCACATTCAATATGGTAGTTTCCAACTTAAAAGTATTCAGTGTTTTCTCACTGTGTACAGGATCAAGTAAAATATTTGCTTAATTTGTAGGAGCACATACTGTATCTGGCAACCAAGGTCTTCCCATGACCTGGCCTAACCAACCTTTGCAGCCTTCTTTCCCACAGTTCTGCTTGTGCCAGACAGGGTGGTTTCCTGTTCCCCGAGCCTGCTTTGCTTGGCTTCCCCTCTGCTCAAACAGTGCTCACATCCAGACCGATAGCCCTGTCTTCTTCTCCTTTTAAATTTTCCCTTATTCTTTAAGGCCCACATCAAGTTCTACCTTCTTCTCCAAGCCAGCCCATAACAACCTTGCCCATCTCTGAACTCTTAGCACTTAACCGTCTAAGATCAATTGCCATTAATTGGAATTTGAGGGGTTTTTTTTGTTTCTTTGTTTTTTTAATGTGTTTGTTAGTTAAGGACTCTTTGGTTAATGAGTTACAGAAATTATCTCTAACTATCTTAAGACACTAAGTCAGTTCATTAGAAGGGTTCTGAGCTACCCCTTTGGTGCCCAAGAACATAATGAAGTGGATCACTGTGTAATCAGGGTTTCAGACACAACTAGAGTTTTCTTATCTCTATGGGTCTGCTTTATTCTTTTATATTGCTCAAATATCTCTCTTGTTTCCCAGACCATATGGCAGTAAACATGACTGCTGACAGGTAAAAACTCTCTGAGAGAGGCTACGTACTCTCTTAAAATTCCTGTGGAAGGGATTGAATAACCTAGCTTAAGTCAGATGCCAATCCTTAGACAATCAACATTAGCCAGGGGCATGGAGTCACATTTTAGGAATATGGCAGTTCCCACTGCAGCCAGGTAAAATAATGAAAGGGAGAGGGTTAATTCCTGGAAATGGAGTAATGAAGAGACACAATAGTTGTCTACTACATTTTACCCTTTGATGTCTAAGGACATGCAAACCCATGCTATTTTCCATACATCAAATGTCTTCCTCCTAATGGTTCAATTATCACATGTAAAATTGTAAATGCACTTATCTTCCCAGTGTGAAATAATTCAATGTCATGACCAGATACTGCATCTGGAGGCAATGACATGGAGCCTCTGTCATCCAAGTCCATCTAAGTTGTTTTGTTTATCCAATCTTGTCTCTGCTTTGGTCCCAGAGTTCTAGATATGACTCCTCATAATTCCATTTAGAAAGGAAGTACTATCCAAATGATCAACAGTCTGAGGCATAGAACACACTTTAAATGATTGTTGTTGTTGGGTGCCGATTAGTTGATTTTTGACTCAAAATGACCCCATGTGACAGAGTAGAACTGCTCCATAGGGTTTTCTTGACCGTAATCTTTACAGAAGCAGATCACCAGGTCTTTCTCCTGCAGAACCACTAGGTGAGTTTGAACTGCCAACCTTTCGGTCAGCAGCCAAGTGCTTAACCATTGTGCCACCAGGGCTCCTTCCTTATGTGATAACTCGTTGCTGATTCCAAATCATATCGACCCTATAGGACAGAGTAGAACTGCCCCATAGGGTTTCCAGGGAGCTGCTGGTAGAAGCAAACTGTCAACCTTTTGGTTAGCAGCCTGAGCTCTTAACAGCTGTGCCACTAGGGCTCCGCTTAAGTGATAGGACCAGATAATTTAATGAGTGTCCGTGTGTTTACTAAGTTCTTTGGCAGTTTAGTGAGTTCGTTGGCCAGGCAATATGGCTGCCTCAGGCCTGTTTTCTGGAAGAATTTCCTTTGTCCAGGATCTTTTAGGGCCTATATGGAGAGAACAGTGAGGATGAGTTCCCAGTAGGAGGTTGAAGGGTGAAATATAGCTCTTTAAATGTCTATTCCTGTTACTGCTGGCACCAGTAGAAGGTAAACTCAGTGAAGGCAGGGACCTTGTTTTTGTTCCCAGCTGTATCCCTGTGACCTAGAACAATAAGCACATAGTAGGCACTCCACAAATTTTTGTAGAATGACCAGGACTCAGTCCTATGGCATTGTTGCCAAGTTTGGTTTTTTTATGGTGCTATGACTCCTTTAAAATCTTAGCTGGCTGACTATCAATTTCCTCTTTGGGGACTCTCTTTACTAATACGTTTTCTAGTGCCAGAAATCTCGTCAAGTCATACTCTGAATACCTAAATCTGTTAAAGGGAACTGCCAGGGCTTGCATTTACAGTGGCTTGGCAAAATCTCTGAAAGCTGGGGCGACGAAGCTGGGAGCTCTGAAATGTACCCACCCACCCACGCAGACACATCCACAACACTTATGGTAGAGACATTATCACACTTGTTCATTGGAGGTGCTATGGAGTGGCCCTGTGACTGGATCTCCCTAATTTCTCTGGCTTCTCTTAAATATCTTATTCCAATAGTCAGGGAACCACAATTTATAAAATAGCAAGTTAGCTCTAGAAATAGCATGAAATATGGCTGCTAGGGCAGATGTAGGTTCTCAATTCTTTTGACTCATTGGCTTCAGACAGAAACAAATTTTTGAACAAAAAATTTTGGGCAAATTTACCAACATGTCCTTTATTTATTTATTTTTAGTGAAGCAAAAAGTTTTATTTGGCATATATTCAAAAAGGCAAAAGTGGGAAATGGACAACCATGCTGCCAGAGCCATGTCTGCCCGCGTTCAAGGAAATATCACAGAAAAGACAAAAGTGGGGAAACAGATAAGCATGCTGCCACAGCCATGTCCACCTGAGTCCACAGACCATTACAGAACAGACAAAAGCGGGAAAACAGACAAGCATGCTGCTAGAGCCGTGTCTGTCCAAGTCCAAAGAATATCACAGAATAGGCAAGAATGGGAAAACGGACAAGCATGCTGCCACAGCCATGTCTGCCCGAGTCCCCCAACATGTCCTGTTTTTTTGTATCAATTTTTAAGGCAGTTACCTGAGATCAGAGTGTGACTTTCTCTCATAACAACTTATTAGTTGATTAATAATAATTATTAATTGATTAAATCAGAGAACAGCCAACACTCTTTAATTTCCTGACATTTTGCCACCATTTTGCTCTTGCTCAAAAGATGACAAATGATACTGCACAGGAACTGCCAATGTCCCAACCCAGGATGGGGGAATTGTCATGGCCCATACCCTACTTTGTCTCAGCTGATTCCATACTTTGAGATCTGTAATTTGCAAATTCCCACTTCCATTACTAATTTCTTCCATTACTGATTTAAGGGCTAATTAAGACTTTTGGTTGGAAGGAACAGAACCAAATCTAGTAAGAGAAGCAATAATGTCAAATTACCAGCAGGACTGTGTAGTGTCTCAGAATCCAAGGACAGGAATGAACTGCAACCACGGATTTAAACAACATTAGGAACGTCTCCATCTTTTGTTTCTCTTCCAGATGTGCTTGCTTCACTTCTCTTTCTGTCTACAGATCAACTTCTGCTTCTCCAACAGATCTGTACAGGTTATAGGTCCAGACTCCATGTTACAAGTCCATTCTTCCAGTTTCTCACACCAGAAACCTTGGTGTCCCCTTGATTGTTTTTTCTCTCTCAAGTCTGGTCCACCAGGAAATTCTGTTGGCCCTACCTTGAACATATGTCCATAATTTAACCACTTCTCACCACCCCAACTGCCACCACCCAGGTACAAGCAGCCATCACCTCTTGCCCAGATTATTGCAATAATTGGTATTTCTGCTTCTATCTTGACTTCCTGTGGTCTGTTCTCAATACAGCAGTCAAAATGGTCCTATCACTGCTCAAAACTCTCCATTTGCTTCTCTTTTTACAGAGTAAAAGCTAAAGGCCTTGCGTGACCTTACCTGATCATGCCTCCACCCCATCATCTTTATGACTTTGTGTTTCAGTACTCACCCTTGTTCACTCCTCGCTGGCCACCTTGCTGTTCTTCAGCTCACGAGTCTCACTCTGCTCTCAGGGCCTTTGCGCTTGCTTTATCTCAAATGTTCTTCCCCCAGATGTCTGCATGGCTCACTCCCTCATTTCATTTGATCCTTACAAGTCACTTCAATGCGTCCTTCCTTGGTCAAGTCCCAACCATCGCACCCCACTGACATTTCCTGTCCTTCTTCCCTTCTGAATATTTTTCTTCACAGCATTTATCACTATTGATACCCTGAGGATATGCTTATCTCCTTTATTGCCTGTCTCCTCTACAATGTAGTCCCTGAGAACTGCGATTTTAGTCTTTTGTTTCACTTCTATATCCCCAGACTTAGAACACTGCCTGGCACTCAGTAATTTTTTTTTTTTTCTTGAATGGATTAGTAAAACCACCTGGAGAAAGACTGAGCTCTCTTTCTGTGTCTTTTTTCCCTCTCCAAAATAAAATACCTGCAGACAATAAAGAATTGTTGGCAGCCTCCAGGAACAGTGAGGCACAGAGGAAGAGGGGAGCCCTAAAGCAGCTTGAAGGGGGCTGGGAGAAAAGAGGCTTCTCATAGCTCAGACCAGCCTCCACTTTGTAACATCAGGAGAACTGTTGCTGACCCTGCCTCTCTGGGTTAAACCTGGACCCTCCTCAGAAGCAAAAATAATTATTATTGTAGCTTCCATTTTCTGAGCACTGTTCCGGTGCTTTCCAGATATTACAATTATAAATAAATTCAGAGACTTAGTGCAGCTTAGTCTCTCTGTAGAGTCATATGAAGTTCAGAAAACACAATTTAAGAGCCAAAAAGTAACGGAAGAACAACTCAAGTATTCTATTGTAGGTCTTGAACATTGGGAGGGGAATTCCTAGTCCATAGCAACTCTCCTTAAAATCCCTATTTTGAGAGTGATGAAAACGTTTTGGAAACAGTGGTGATGGTTGCACAACATTGTGAATGTAATCAGTGCCACTGAATTGTACAATTAAAAGTGGTTAAGATGGAAATTTTTATGTTATATATTTTACCACACACACAAAAAATGTTTAATCCCTCTTTCGTATCCCATCAGCTTCCCTTGCTGCAGCTGCTCCCAGCTTCCTTCCCCCTCCAAAATGCCCCCAAAATTCCTCTCCTGGAGCCTTAGTTTGTGTCCCTTATCCTTCCCTCCCATTCCCCTTTCTTCTGATTCTCAAACCCTGAAGTCCCAAAAGTCTAGGCAGAGAAGCAACAAGCAAGCTATCAGCGTTAACGCATTAGTAATGTTTTGACTCATCGACATACGTGGTTTCTCATCGTTTGAGGTGGGTGTTGTTCTGACCACTCCATAGAAAAGTAAAATGCAGCTCAGGGAGGTTGTGACTTGCCAGAATCTCAAAGCCAGTAGGTGGCCCAGGCCAGTCTCCTCTCAAAAACCCGCATGCTCTGTCCACTCCACCACAGTAGGCTGGAGTCAAGGAGATGACACGGCTTCTTCCCCCCTCAGCCGGCCCTGACAGCCACCACCTCTGAGCAGCGAACAGCCTGGACTCCATCAGCCCTCCGTGGCCCCGGCACAATGTCCAACCAGGATCTGAAGTAAGCTCGGCCGGTCGGTTGGGACAGCCTGTCCTCTCTGGGCCGGGTTTGGGGTTGCTGTGGCAACAGCACATCACTCAGCTTTTCTTCCAGATTCCTGAAGTACTGAGTCCTGCGGTGGGGCAAGCGAGGCCCATTTTCTCCACATGGAAAAATATGCATATTTGTAATTGCTGGGAACGCATCTTCTCAGATTGCAAATTTTAAGTCTTTGTGTGTGTGTCCTGAAATTTCTTACTTGCTTATTAAGTTTCATGTGTGGGAAAACCTACTACATACTCTAATCACTTCCAGGTAATCTATCTCCAAATACGTTGCTCCCAGTCTGCCTCTGTCCTGAAAGATAAGAAAATTTTACTAGGTTCCCTGGAGTCTGAGGAAGATTTATGTCTATTTTCAGTCTTCTGAAAATCCTATACTTAACCAAGATGAGGGAGCCCACATTATGTAAAGTGTTGTTTTTCTTTTTTTTTTTTAATTTTGGCTAGCATTAGATAATCTCTTTATCTCATGCTGACTAGAAGCCCCGATTGTCAGAAATACCTGCTCTTCTATTATTAACAATAATAGCTATCGTTTATGGAGTGCATTAACATATTTAATCCCATTGAGGCCACTTTTACAGAGGGGAAAGGATGCATTAGAGAAGTGCGGTAACTTGTTCAAGGAGACAGCCAGGGGCGGATTAACCAGTAAGCACAGTATGCACGCGTTTACAGTAAGAAAGGTACGCACGGGATTAATCGTGTTTATTTACTAATCCGTAGTGCACAACTTCACCTGGGTTTCACCACTTATTTGATGTGGTGTTAGTGTGGTGAAACCCAGGTGAAGCTGTGCACTACGGATTAGTAAGTAAACACGATTAAGCCCATACATACTTGGCTTGTTGGGTAATCTGTCCCTGTCTCAGACAGCTAGTAAGTGGCACAGCCAGGGTTCAAACTCAGTTCTGGCTGACATTAAGCCCAAAATAAGAATTGTGGTTTGTTTGAAAACCCTTCCACAAACGGCTTCAAGGGTGGGGAAAAGCCAGAGAGTTTTGGTGAAGGGGCTGTTCCAGGCCTGAGCTGAGGACTTCCTGTGCCCAGTGGGGCCCCAGGGGGCAGAGTTGGCACTATGGGCCTCCTTCCCAGAAGTCCCTGCAGCATCTTGGCTTCTTGAGCACTTCCCTGTTGGGTTGGGGCAAGATGCTTCAGGTTTGGTGAGTGCAGTTCTCCTGGAGCAAGTGAGCCAGGCACTCCAGCTCCCTGCCCCCAGCCCATCACTGAACTGGAGCCTGGAGGTGGGAGGTGGGCCAGGGACTGCTGAGGGTAAGGCAGGAAGCTGGGGAGAGGGGTCTCTGGTCACCTGTGGGGCTGAGGCCCTGGGGGCCTCCATCCTTACTCTTTCCCTGCTCTGTTCCTGCTCCCCGCTATTTGTCCTCTCTCTGTCACCCTTCCCCCCACCCCACCACCCACCCAGTGTCCCCCAGCTATGTGCAGCTCTGTACCCTTGTCTCTGTGTTTCCCTCACTCACTTGGTGCCTCCCTCCTCCCTCGGCCTCAGTGTCACAGCAAAGCTCATCAATGGAGGTGTGGCAGGACTCGTGGGGGTGACTTGCGTGTTCCCCATCGACTTGGCCAAGACCCGACTGCAAAACCAGCACGGCAATGATATCTACAAAGGAATGTAGGTATTGGTGAGGGCATTGGGTGGCCAGGGGGAGCTGGACTCCCAGAGGAGGATATGGGGCCTCACTCTTTCCACAGTTTCTTTAGGGAGTGTGTGAATGAGGGTGTGTGGGCGTTGGGGAGGCCTTCAACTGGGGTGTGCCCAGCAGGATTAGGGATGGGGAGGGGGCAGGCAGAGCAGCCTCCCGTACATCACTAACTTTTTTTTCCATAGGGTAGATTGTCTGATAAAGACGGCCCGGGCAGAGGGCTTCCTGGGCATGTACCGAGGTAGGCTTATCAGGCATCCCCGGTAGGCCTTCGGGTAGGATGCCGGGGTGTCAGCCCTTGTGAGGTTATAAAACATTGGGAATCGGTGTTCTCTCTGCCCAGGGGACTCCTGGGATGGGGCTGGGGCTGCTAGGTGATCCTAGAGTACAGGTGCTTTTCACTTGCTTTTGGTGGAGATAGAGGTAGTTCTGGTTCCTGGTGAGGCTTCAGGGGGCACCAGGGAGCACACTATGGTCACCCCTCACAGAGGCCGGAGGCTGGGTTCCAATCCTGACACCAACACTACCTCACTATGTGATGACAAAAGCAAGTGAGCCCCAATCGGTCTTCCTCTTTCTTCTTTCCTCCTGCCTCCCTTCTCCCTCCTCTGCCTCTTTCCTGGACTGTAGGCGTTCAGCTACTAATAGCAGGAGAAGAGGGAGGGGCTGAAAGGGACAGAGAATGGAAAGGGCTTTGAGTTCCTTAGGGAGGAGTTATGAGGTGGTTCTTCCCTAACATGGTCCAGTGTCCCCATTCCAGGGCAGCACAGCCATGATTATGCTTGGAAAATGGCTGACAGGCTGATTGCCCCGAAGAATAAAATGAAAGCCTCCAGGAACCACAAAGCTGCCAGTGGGGCTGGGCTAGTGCAGCACAGAGAAATTGAGACACGGTCCCTGTCCTCCAGGGGCTTATTATTGGCCTTAATATTGGGACTGCTCCTTTATCATCGAAGGTGGACAGCACCAGCAAGGACAAAATAAAATGACTTCTTGGCAACTGGACTAATAAGCCCATAAAGAAAACAAATGCAAAAAAAGGAAAATGTCGTGAAGTGAGGGCCGAAGCAGGGATAAAAAGAAAATTTATGCTTCAATAAAATAGGCCAGAGGTACCCTCCTTGACCCCCTGAGACTCCCCTTGCCCCCAGAGATTTACCTGACTAGCACTGAGAGCAGGCCGTCTATGAGAGTGGCAGACTTGGAGCTGTTACTTCTGCTATGAATGAAGTAATGCCCATTTTCGTTTTTCACTTCCAGGGGCTGCAGTGAACCTGACCTTGGTCACTCCAGAAAAGGCCATCAAACTGGCAGCCAATGACTTCTTCCGGCAGCTGCTCATGGAGGATGGGTACGGGCCAGGTGGGGGCTGGGATGGAGACCCTTCACGGTGTGTCTGCGGTTTCTGGGGGGAGGGGGCAAGGGGAGGACTGCATCTATGCCTCAACTTACCTGCGTGCATGTATATAAATATGTGCACACATACACATGGCTGAGGGTTAGTGTGTGTTTTAGCAGGTGCAAAGGGAGGGGAGAGAATGAGCTAGTATAATTTCAAGGTTCTTTCTTTCTCTCCGTCTCTGTATAGGGAGATAATCCCCGTTGCCATTGAGTCAATTCCGACTCATAGCAACCCTATAGGACAGAAGAGAACTGCCCACAGGGTTTCCAACGCTATAATCTTTGCAGAAGCAGACTGCAACATCTTTCTCCCATGGAGCAGCTGGTGGGTTCAAACTGCTGACCTTTTGGTTAGCAGCTGAGAGCTGCTACCAGGGCTCCTACTATACAGAGTTATATATATATATATATAGAGAGAGAGAGAGAGAGAAGTAGACATAGATATAAGTATATAGATATATAGAGAACATATGGAACGCACAGAATATACCTATTCTATTATGTATGTATTATTATAAATAACAGAATATATATATGTTGTTGTTGGCTGCCATCGTTGTTGTTGGCTGCTGTCAACTCAGCCTGACTCATGGTGGCCCATGCACAATGGATGAAACACTGCCTGATCCTGCGCCATCCCTATGAAGAGTTGCAGATCAGATTGTTGTAATCCATAGTGTTTTCGCTGGCTGATCTTTGGAAGTAGGTTGCCAGGCTATATACACACACTCACATTCATTCATGCACACATATATTCATCAGCTAGCTGATGAGTTTTAATCAGCCCCCAAATACTTTCTATTCTCTCTGTGGTCTTGCTTAAGGGACAAGGAAGAATCAAATACCCATGATAGAGGGTCTCATTGTTATGGTTTTAGCTTCTATGCAGGTGCTGCCTCCTTAGCAGCCTGTTTTAAATCTAGTCTCAGGTCTTTAAGGAGACCAAGTCTGAAGTCAGGTGATCGTTACCGCGCTGGGTGAGTGGCAGCTGATGGGGACAGGGCTAAATACCATCCACAGGAAGTCCTAACCATCAGGGGAGAGGAGATGAGCCAAGGTGGGCACAGGGCTGGTGTGTGACTGGAAGAGCCTGACTCCTGGTTCCACAGGGGGCAGCAGAATCTGAAGATGGAGATGCTAGCTGGATGTGGAGCTGGAATGTGCCAGGTGGTGGTGACCTGTCCCATGGAAATGCTCAAGATTCAGCTGCAGGATGCTGGACGATTGGGTGAGCCCTAGCTGACTTCACACAGGATCAATAAAGGGCTATGATCAGAATAGACTCCCCACATCCCCACCCTCATTTGTTAAACTGTGTGATCCAGTCCGCTTTCTAGGCCACTGAACTCTTTATGATTACCACTCTAGATTTCAACACTTCCAGCTTTAGAACAAATAGCAGAAATGAGAATCTTGATTTGGGGGGATGGAGAACCTAATACCGCTATCATAATGCCTTGACATTCAGATTTGTTTTCCTAAAAGATTTTAAGAAATGCCCAAGGCCTGCTCACTAACACCTCAATCAATAGGAATTTTATGCCATGGAAGCTGGCCTTTAGTGGGAAGGCATAAAAAAGGGAGAAGACAGTCATTTCTATTCTTTTGGTGTTCCCTGGAAGAGAAGCTTGGCCCTTTCCTAAATGCTGGATTTAGGAAATAGTGGAGCAGGTACCAAAGCATCTAGGTAGGAGCAAGGACTGGCCATCTAAGAAGACAACCCTAGTGGGAGACACAGATGCACCTCTCATCTGGGGCAAAACTACACTGTCCGAGTTAGATAAGCTAATGGGCAATGTGCTCAATGGCACCTGGCACAGAGTGGACTGTCCTCAGTAAATGTAGGTGCCCTTCCCCTCCTCAACAAGCTAGAATTCAACTAGATTTTTAAGGTGGATTAAACCAGCCCGAAGCAAATAAAACTGCAGAAAGAATAAAGTTCAGGGACTGGAAGGCCCCCACTGTGTTTTGATTTGCAGGGTAAAAGCCCTGTAATGTTCAGTTTCTCAATCTGGATGAGAAACTTTAGTATTCCTAAAACATTAAAAAAGCAGTGAAAGGATATGAGTTAATTCTGTGCATTTAAAGCTGACAGGGAAAATAATGTTCACAGTGATTAACTCCTGACAGCAGATTGTTTGAGGCCTGCACCTACATTACCACCAGAGGGAAATGTGTACAGTAACTGTCTTCCTAGTCTGAAATGTTGGCCTAAAAAAAAAACCAAACCTATCGCCGTCAAGTTGGTCCCCGCTCATAGTGACCCCATGTGTGTCAGAGTAGAACTGTACTTCATAGGGTTTTCAATGGCCGATTTTTCACAAGTAGATCTCCAGGCCTTTCTTCACAGGTGACTCTGGGTGGACTCGAACCACCAGCTTTTCAGTTAGCAGCGAGCAAGTTAGCCATTTGCAAAGCTAATTGTTTGAGCCCTGCACCTAGATTACTACCATAGAAAAATATGTATGGTAACTATCTGCCTTGTATGAAACGTTGCCCTGCTGGATACTAAACAAAATTGGGAACTTAAAGGCTTCCTTTTAGCAAGGGCTTATAATATAGGCAAAACTTTTCCAATGCTGAGATTTAAGAAAATATATGTTTACACAATTCCAATATCTTAAATCCTGTGGTCATTAGTGGGACTCACCCGCATTTGAAATTGCTTGAGTTGGAATCCACTCAACAGCAACGGGTTTGGGTTTGGTTTTGTATTTACTCTCCACCAGCTACTCCTTGAAAACCCTATGAGGCAGTTCTGCTCTGTCCTATAGGGTTGCTATGAGTTGGAATCGACTCAACGGCAACAGGTGTGCTCAGGAAAAAAATAATTCCATTTGATTTACTCAATGTTGAACTCATCAAATGATGGGCTCTGAATTAATCAACTAAAATGGACTGATATCTAAAGGCTCAAATTCCATATAAGAAGTATATAACAAGGGGAAAGAAGGACAAGTTCACCTAATCCTGGAGTACCAGAGGGAGGAGGCACCCCTGGAAAGACTGAAGGAGAGAGTTTTTGGAGAAACAAAAGGAATTTGCTGCTTCACACATTAGGCAGGAGATGTATGGGACTCCTATGTCCTAAATGGTTTAGATATGGAAGACAGATCAAAAACACAGTATTAATAGGATAAGGAAGTTGGGAATACTGCTACAGCTTCCTGTAAAGAAAGTGGGGCAGGAAATGGCTATGTTCTTGTGAAGCCATCTTTTTTATTTTTTGCTGTTGAATTCTTTTTTTAATTGTGCTTTAGACGAAGGTGTACAGAACAAACTAGCTTCTCATTAAACAGTACACATATTGTTTTATGACATTAATTAACAACCCCACAACAGGTCAACACTCTCCCTTCTCTACCTTGGGTTCCCTATTACCAGCTTTTCTATCCCCTCCTGCCTTCTTGTCCTTCTCCCTGGGCTAGTGTGCCCCTTTAGTCTCGTTTTATTTTATGGGCCTGTCTCATCTTTGGTTGAAGGGTGATCCTCAGGAGTGACTTCATTACTGAGCTAAAAGGGTGTACAGGGGCCGTACTCTCGGGTTTCTCCAGTCTCTGTCAGACCAGTAAATCTGGTCTTTTTTTTTGTGTTAGAATTTTGTTCTACATTTTTCTCCAGCTCTGTCCGGGACCCTGTATTGTGATCCCCGTCACAGCCGTCGATGGTGGTAGCCGGGCACCATCTAGTTGTGCTAGACTAGTCTGGTGGAGGCCGTGGTACTTGGGGTCCACTAGTCCTTTGGACTAATCTTTTCCTTGTGTCTTTGTTTTTCTTCATTCTCCCTTGCTCCCAACAGGGTGAGACCAGTGGAGTATCTTAGATGGCCACTCACAGGATTTTAAGACCCCAAATGCTACTCACCAGAGTAGAATGTAGAACATTTTCTTTATAAACTATGTTATGCTTGTGAAGCGTCTTGTGCAGCTACTACTGCAATGTAATCAAATCCTGGGCTGGCTGGTCAGTCTGTCCAACTCAGTGGCATTTGTCCTGTTCTTACTCAGGGGTAACACATTAGATAATATAGACCTTAGAAAGATTTCCTTTTTGCCAAAAATTAAGTCTAAAATTAGGACATCCTCAGAATTCTAGTTGGGGTGTCAGCCTTGGCTCTGAGCTGCTGTCCCAGGAGTAGGACTTGGGAGCCATACTCTGCGGAAATGTTTTACAGCACCTTTTGGGGCTGGATTATGATGGGGAGTCTGTCCTTTCCTTTTCAGCTGTCCACCATCAGGATCCAGCCTCAGCACTTTCCTCCTCCACTTCCTACACTACTGGTCCGGCTCCCACCCACAAGCGCCCATCTGCTACCCTCATTGCCTGGGAGCTGCTTCGCACCCAAGGCCTGGCTGGCCTCTACAAGGGCCTGGGTGCCACTCTCCTCAGGTGAGGCTCTTCCTGAACTTGGGACACAAGCATTCCTGGCTTGCTGGGGCCTGAGTGAACAGGGAGAGGGAACAGAAGGCCAGAGAAACTCCTGCCTTAATCTGCCTCTGTATTCTTCACATTCCACACCTAGGATAGCAAATGATTTCCATGCTTCACATATATGTCTTTTTATATCTTTTTTTTTTTTTTTTAAATTGTGATTTCGGTGAAAGCTTACAGAGCAAATTAGCTTCTCGTTAAACAGTTAATACACAAATTGTGACACTGGTTGCCAACCCCATGACGTGTCAACACTCTCCCCATCTCCCCAGGTTCCGTTTCCATTTGTCCAGTTTTCCTGCCCCTTCCTGCCTTCTCATCTTTGCTTTTGGGCTGGTGAGCCCATTCGTCTCATATACATGACTGAACTATGAAGCACGTCCCTCACGTGTGTTATTGTTGGTCCTATAGACCTCTCTAATCTTTGGCTGAAGGGTGAAACTCAGGAGTGACTTCAGTACTGAGTTAAAAGGGTGTCTGGAGACCATACTTCGTATTTTGTCCAGAATTTGGCAGGGTTGTACAGAATAGGTACCTGGAGGACAAACTTTAGGCCCCTTCTCCAGTAACAAGGCCCGTATGAGTATTGGGTATTGTGTGGCCCATGACTGCGGATCTTTTATAAATAAATGAGTAAACATAGTCTCTCATCTTACCTTGCTACTTGGCTTATAATTGAGCCACCAAGCTCTTGGCCAAAATCCTTAAAGTTGGTCAGAAGAGTCCCAGGCCAGGGACTAGTTTTCTCATGTCACCTAGGCAACAGATTCATGAACTTTACCTTCCCACCCATCCCTACCCTTCAACATTTATAGCTTACCAGCCACTTGCTCAGTTTAACCCTTACCTTAGCCTGCCTGCCCCTTTAGTAGAATGGGTTACCAGTCTTTAAATCTGCACCTGTTTCCTCATTAAGAGGCTGCAGAGTAATGAACTGGGAGGGTGGGGTAGGCAAATGGGTTTCTTTTATGCTGTCTACGCCTCTACATTATCCTGGGGTGCCAGAGTAGGAATAGGTAGCTGTGGCTTGTCTCTGACCCATCAGACTACAACTCATGGAAAAGGCCACTGGCTGACCCTAGGGGGAAGCCCCGGAGCTGCATGTAGCTCAGTGTTTCTTCTTCCTCTCCTGCAGAGACATTCCCTTCTCCATCATCTACTTCCCACTGTTCGCCAACCTTAACAACCTTGGGCTCAACGAGCTTACTGGGAAGGCTTCCTTTGCTCACTCCTTTACGTCAGGCTGTGTTGCAGGTTCTGTAGCTGCTATTGCAGTAACACCTCTGGATGGTAAGTGCATGGGAGAGAGAGGGGCTAATTATTTGGGGTTCAAGGGCTGACATGCTTGATAAATTAAGCATTTGTGTAGTAGTCTATGGGGTAAACAGTATTTTTGCATGTTCAGGATAAAGATGAAATAGCACCAACCCTAAAAACCCTCCTGGGGTCTCAACCTGTGACCAATGGCAAAAACATACCAAAGGTTCTCTAGAGAATGAGGGCCCAAGGAGACCTTCACTCTGCTTCTTATCAATGACAAGTTCCTTCACCTCCTAGCTGCTGATTCCATTAGCTTTCTGTCCCCCAGCAGAGTTACGAGCATCCGCTATAAATGATCACTGACATTTTAAAATTTGAGACCAAAAGCAGGAAATAAACAAAGTGTGAGAGGACAACGTTTGCTGTGTATTTGGGGCAGCATCCTATTTCTCTGAAACGCAGCAAGGGCCTAGGGGCAGACCTTTCTACAGCACGAATAACCTCAAAGATCATGTTGTCTCTAATTCGCTCATTTCATGAGGCCCAAAGTGGAGAAGATCTTCTATTAAAGATCACGCTGTCGCAGACTGGCTTCATGATTCAGTTTTACGTATGTTGGTTCTACAAGGAAACCCAACCACTTCATGTTGAGAAGACACCAAAAGCAAGATGGCCACTACTTATTTTCACCTTTCTTTGATTTAGTTTTGAAAACTCGAATCCAAACCCTCAAGAAAGGCCTGGGTGAGGAAGTCTACAGCGGGATCATAGACTGTGCCAGGTGAGAGCTCAGTATGCCTTTACTGACAGTATCTGGGATGGTCACCTCTGCACTGGTGTCTACCTACACCAGATTTAGAGACCAGTTTTATTACTTTACTACACTGAGCTCTGGATTTCCTTGAAACGTCACTTTCTCTCACCTCTCAACAAAAAACAGGATGTGCTGGAAGCTTTTTTCTTTTCCCTTTTATCCCTACACCATCTTTCTCCCAAAGATTCTAGCCAGATCCAGCCTGTTTTCCAGAGCCTCAATTCAATTGCTAAGTAATCAAACTGCACACACATCATGGGCAAGGCATGGCTCCCACACATCTGGGAAATCTTGCTGTTGCTGTGGGAAGTGACACTTATCTCAAAGTACAAATGTTTGAAGAGGATACCACCCAGTACTGCTTGCCATGTGCTTCTGCCCTTCAGCTCACTAGGCTCTTCTTTCTCCCTAGGAAAGTCTGGATTCAGGAGGGACCATCTGCGTTCATGAAAGGAGCAGGCTGCCGGGCCCTTGTTATAGCACCTCTCTTTGGGATTGCCCAAGGTGTCTATTTCATCGGTATTGGAGAGCGTATCTTAAAGTTTTTTGAGTAGCTGCTGCTGGAGCTGGAGTCTTTTTACTTGGTGTCATCTCTCTACCTACCCCATTTTACCTAGACTAGATGGGGTAAGAGCAAGCTGGCCCACCCATGTTGTATTTCGTCCTCTAACTGGTAGTGCTACCTCAATCTGGGAAAAAACAACCCTATTCTAATAAGCTGGATATCACCCTAATCTCCCTACATGATACCTGTATTTGTTTCCTTTGGAGTATAACTACCATGGATCTTTAGAAGCCCTTAACTACCTACTTTCCAACAATAACATGGTACCTAGTATGGTTGTATTAATGGCAGGGCTTTAACAAACAGTAAAGGTATAAGGGTTGTTTCTACATTTTATTTCTGTTTCACACTCAAACTCAGTATACGCAAGTCAGTTTTAAGATTTAGTTTTGCCCGGAGACTTCATCAACCTGAGACCAGAAGAACTAGATGGTGCCCGGCTACAACCAATGACCACCCTGACAGGGAACACAACAGAGAGTCCCGGATGGAGCAGGAGAAAGGTGGGGTGCAGAACTCAAATTCTAGTAAGAAGACCAGACTTAATGGTCTGAGACTGGAGGAACCCCGGAAAGCATGGCTCCTGGATTCTCTGTCAGCCCAGAACTAAAACAATTTCCAAGGCCAGCTCTTTAGACAGGGACTGGACTGGACTGTGGGACATAAAGTGATACTCGTGAGGAGTGTGCTTCTTAGCTCAAGTAGACACGAGAGACTAAATGGGCAGCTTCTCTCCGGAGGTGAGATGGGGAGGCAGAGAGGGTTAGGAGCTGGCTGAATGGACATGGGGAATCAGGGTGGAAAGGAGGAGTGCGCTGTCACAGTATGGGGAGAGCAATCAGAGTCACCTAACAATGTACGTAGAAATTTTTGTATGGGAAGAAATAAAAAAGAGATTTAGTTTTGCTAATCCTGAATTAATTTATGGTTAGTCCTAGCACTGATTTTGGGGAAAGGGAGGATCAGAAATTCAAGCAGACCACGAAAGCCCTCAAAGTCAGGATTTAGTTTGAAACCAAGCAAACCCTTTCAAATCGTTCTGGTTGAGGGGTTAGGTTGATTCTAATTAAAAGCCTGGGCAAAGTCAGGACAGCCATCTGCCACAATCTTCCACTTGCAGCCTCAGACCCACCCTTACCAATGTTCATGGAACAGTATTTGAAATAAAGCTGACTGGTGAAATATCTCATCTGCAATGAACACTGTCTGTCATCTGCTTTTCTGTGTCCATTTCAGAACCAAACAACATTAAAATAAACACTGAACAGGTCACTATCACTTATTCTTCAAATTGTTACTTAAGAAGATAGAGAACAATAACCATAGGAATACTTTAAGTTACGCTGGATTTGGAGCCTTGGTTAGTAATAACTATTTATTGCATCTTGAGGAACTGAGTTTGCTGTGATGGAGTTTTCCCCATGTGCCTCAATTCCTTCCCCAAGGCTGCTACAGAGAAAAGAAATGATGTCACATGAGTGGGGTCAGGTCCTAAGGAAAAAATACCTGTTCCAGGAGTTATTTACATTAGTCCCCACCTAATGTAAAACTAGGGTGAATGAGAAGAGGATGGTGCTAAGATGGTCAGCCTTGGTGGCCTTTTTATTAAGATGAGTACATATGAGCATGGGCTCCACAGTCAGATTTGAGTTGAAGTTCCAGCTGTGTTATTTACTAACTCTGTAAGACTGTGGGCAGAGCTCTGTACTCATCTGAGGAAAAACTAGCTAGAGAGGAAGGATGGGGACAAAAACAAGGAGCTTTGTGAGAGGGTTTAGGCCTAGAACACAGTAACCCAAAAAGCCTTAGTGTCCTTTCTTTTGTGACTCTGCCAAAGCTAAAAAAACCTATTTCCTCAATAAAGCTGTAAAACTCTTGTGGAGGACACCTGTGCGCACGTGTGTGTTGGGGGGCGGTATTTGTAGGTAAACGTCTGGTAAAGTGATCAAGAAGTGCCAGGACACACAGAAGTTAGTGGATTCAAGTAGTGACAGCTGTAAATTATCAAATGTGATAGGAACTTGGAAAATGGTCCTTTTCTAGTTAGCTCAGTAAGAACTTTTCTCTCAAACCACACATTTGTAGTGTCTTGCATAAGAATTTACAATAAAATCCACATAAACCTTTTCTTTTAATAAATAAAGCACATTTTCATGGTTTAGATTTCTAGAGCTAGAAAGAGCAGAACACCGAGTGAAGTTCATGCAACCACCATTTGATCCCCTCACCTTCATGCTGCAGAACCAACTGAAAGTTGGGTTGCTTTTATAGAGTAGGTTCCCGATCATTTTAACTGAAACTTGCTCCTGTTGGTAACAATTAGGCCAAGGGCATTGATTACATAGGGTATTCCACTGATAAATACAGAACAATATTACAACAGCAAAGAGAAGGTTACACAGATAATCTTGGTTCTTCAAATATCAGAAACTTCCATATCCTATCAGTAAAGGAGTGGAATGAACTCCACCTCCAAAACACTTAGTCCAAAAACTTCCTGTTGGCATTAGCACCAAACAAGGCTCCCCGTACTTCTGGCATCATCTGTGAAGACATAATTTTCTTTAATAAATAAGTGTTGTCAACTGGAGAACTTGGAAAGAACTGCCCATTTAAACCTCAGGCAAAAGTCATCAACCCTTATGTGGCTGGGAAGGGAAATCACAAAGCTAAGTACATCAAATATGTCCTTTACTTCTCTGAACCACTGTAACGGAGTCCTTGGTGAGAATTAACTAATCACATACTTGGGAGTTAAGGCCGACTGCTTACAAAGCTTCGTGAAGAACGAAGAGGACGATGAAAACAACTGAAGTCATCACTGTCTAAGGCCTCTGGTTACTGAACACTTGGAATGTGGCTAGTCTGACTGAGAAACTGAATTTTTAATTTCAGTTAATTTAAACAGCCAGATGTAACTAGTGGCTGCTGTACTGGGCAGCACAGCTCTAAGGTTTAAGTTATCAGAAAATGATACTCAAAGTCCAAGTGCTTTAGCTATAAGACAAGTGCTCATACAAACAGTAAATCGCTCTTCTAAGTTAGGCAATAACTAAGTTAGCAGCCATAGAAATAGATAACCACTATTGACAACTGCCTAGTATTTTGGAACAACTGGAATCTTCCCAGAATTCATTTGCGCAAACCTGGAAACGGTGGAAGAGTCAGCAGCCCTAAGGTCTTTAAACAAGTGTTTACTTTAGTTTTGATCATTCTTGCTGGAGAGAGGTCACCCTCTCTACATGTAGTGAAATGCATACATTAGAGTCCTAGGTAAACAAAATCCTTGTTCCGACCCCAAATCCTCCCTCAGGTGAATGGTATCACCTCAGTAAATGCCACCAAATGCCTGATCCTCATCCCTTTTAAGAAAACATGAAGAGTGACAAATCCCAGATATCACTGAATCGACATGTATTCTCTGTGCCCCTTCAAAGTAACAACAGACCAACTAACGAGAAGTACTCCCACACTCACCTGCTGGGCTATGAGATCCAGCCGGCTTTCTAGGGTGTTGGAAACCTTTATTTTACGATCCCCATTATAGATCTCAACACCACCAGCTCTACAGAGAACAGAGGAAATAACAATTTTTATAAATCTGAGGAAGGCAGAAACACACACGGTTCACTTATTTTACTCCCTCGGAGGAAAGCACTTTCAGTGTGTGTGGAGTGTCTAAATAGTGTAAGGAGCCAATAAACATAAGGAATAGTTATGTTTAAGATTAATTTTAAAAGCTTCTGACAATTAAGGTATGTGTGTTGATGGTAACTGTTGTTTACCAAGTGTCTGCTATGTGCCAATTTGATTTCATGTTTATAGCACCTGATTTAATTCTAACGAGCTCTCTCCAACAAAATCATGAGTGTAGAATTTAGTCCCATTTTGTAAATCAGTATCACAGAGCTGATACTGAGTGGTAGATTCAAGATTCATATTAGTCCATAAATTGCTACAAAATGACTTCACAAATAGCATTTGAAGATTCCTCATCTGAGTATTTTTTTAAGCCCAACACTGCTAATTACCAGGTAGCTTTGATAAGGTAATACTCATAACTTCTTCGTGCATCAGATAAAAGGTATCACTGCTACCTTCCGCTAAACTCACCCTCAGAGAGTTCTGCCTCTAGCCACACCTCACTTCTGCCATTCCTTTCCTCAAAGTTCCTCAGCACTTAAAGAGACATAAGGTCAGCAGGTCCAATTCTATTACAAGGAACCTCAGTGAATGAAATTGTTTTGCTGCGTTAGAATTTTATTTCATCAAATATTGCCTGAAACAAGAGGACTATCAGCCAAAGGCTGGGAATGGGAAAGGTTTCGCAGATTTTCTGTGCGACTATTTGAACAGACTCTGTATGACCTTAGTGTTATTTTTTTACCCCTCTTCCCCCCTTTCTTTGTTTCACCTATCTTCAGTTTCTCTAAACAGGTTACATTCTTCATAAAGGCATGGTTAGTTCTTTGCTAATCCTGATCCAATGTCTGTGATAAATTCTTTCTCCATGTTGGGGGAGGGAGGGAAGGAAGACTAACACTCAGAATGTTGACTGTGTGCCAGACACTCACAGAACGTGAATTCAACGAGGGCTTCTCACTTCATCTTCACAGTAACCCTGTGAGGTTCTTAGTATCCTCGCCATTTTACAAGCACCGGTGCACTGACAGAAAAAGCAGCAGTAGCTGCAAGCGGAACCCAACCATACCCCTGCTCCTTGTGGCTGAAAGTGCTTTGGAGAAAATACACTTCCATCACAACCCAGTGTAAGTCTTATCTCCCAACGAGATAGCACCCCATGTTAAAAGCAGAAATCCTCCTTACATGTCCTCAGGCAGGTAGGTCTCCTGATCAATTTGGACATCAACATCTTTTTTGGTGGCGATTTTGTACATAGGGATTGCTTTTTGCACCGCAGCCTAGAAAAACAGAAAGCAATGAGAGGTTCTGGCAGAAAACTATGGAGCAGGTACCCTCAAAAAATCAACAAACTAAGTATATGAGTAAGGATATTCCTGTTTATTCCAAGTAAAAGAATACATGGAAGTGGGTTTTCACTGCTGTGCTACAGTTAGTGGGGCATAATATAATTAGTGACAAGTTCTGTCTTTGAACAATATTATACACACTCTAATACACATAGAAATAACATTTTCTTGAAGGAATTAAAGGAACTTGAACTATTTTTCTCTGACAGTCTCACTAGTTGAACAAATGGATGCATATATTCCTCTCTTGCCTGCTCCTCAAATCTAATGCAGCACCACTTTGGGGAGCTGCTCACTAACACTAGACACTGTGGAAGTTTCAAGAAAAAAACTTGCTTGGCACCCAGCAGTACATGGTGCCATCTAGAAAGGCCAGCTGGCAACTCAGACAGGCCTCCATTGCCTTGGTGAACTCTCCATTATAATGTCCATCCCTCTGTTTTATGGGTTCATGAACAAGGCTGTCAGCACAAACATGGATCCAGGTCACTGAAGTGATTTACACACCAGAACCACATTTATAGTGGACAATGTACAATGGAGGGGAATGAACACCTAAGTTCTCCAGCTGGCACATTTTCTTTCCTAGGAGACAAGTTACCTAGGGAGACAAGTTATAAGAATATAAATGTATTTTGTATTATAAATGTATTAATTTATACTATGAAATACAATTGCTCGGGGACTAACAACTCACATCTTTGCCTTAAAGCAAACTACAAGGAAAAAGAAATCTAATCTAAAGAGCAACTTGATGACACAGAATCAGAGCTGGGGAGTCCATTAAACAAACCCACTGCCACAGAGACAATTCCGACTTATAGTGACCCTACTGGACAGAGTAGAACTGTCCCATAGGGTTTCCAAGGCTGTAATCTTTATGGAAGCAGACTGCCACAACTTTCTTCCGTGGAGCGGCTGGTGGGTTCAAACCACTGACCTTTCGGTTAGCAGCCGAGCACTTAACCACTGTGCCACCAGGGTTCCTTCTGTCTGAAGCATCCACCTATTACTACAACCTGAGTACCTGCCATGGGACCAGATGGGTCACGCCCTCAGATCAGGGCAGCTTCTCCCTTAGACAGTATAGGGAGGACGACTGCACTGGTCATCTCTGGGACTGTGTATTTTTCACTGCTGACCAACCTCCTTTCTCTAGGTATGTGAATATATTTAACTAGGTCAGAGCCACAGCTTGCTGGCCTGGGAGTGGTTTGCCTCTTGAAGATGGTGTTGCCTACCTTTGCTCCAATCTAGTAGGTGCTGCTTTTATTGTTTGATTTTTAGAAGATTATAACATTACAAAGTTCCTACAAAGGGAGGAGGGCATTAGCTCAGATGGCAACTTGACTACTTTAAGAAAAGAAATTCTTAGAAACTTGAGTAAGAATAACAATATCCACAGCGTGCTAAGACTCCTCAAATTCCTATGGTTGAGAAATTATCTATTAGAGCATTCACTGTATCTCCTAACATTTTGATCTTAAAGACAGAGAGAGATTTCTTCTAAGCTCTTTACCTTTACCAGCGGGAAATCCTGTTTCCTGCAACGAACGATCATTCGGGGCTCCAGCAACTGGTACAAACCCTATAGAATACAATCAGATGTAACTGGTAAGAAGTGCAAACCATAAAATAAAGCAACAGCAAAATAAAATATTTTTATAGTTCTTTTCAGAACATGGAAATAAGATCTTGATATCACAAGTAAGATAAACATATCCATTACTGCTCTGGTAGTAAAGACAAAATTCATATAAGAGTCTTATCTTACATCAACCATGTTGAGAACAAATACTGTAATTAACTAAGTAAAATATGGACTTACAGGCTGGCAGTAAGCAATTAAAATGTATACATCCTTTGGTCTAAACCCCATTGTGGAAGTATTTTAGTGAACAAATTAAGGAAGTTTAAAGCTAAAGGTTGTAAGCAAATTTGACTCGAGTTGTAAAACCCTGGAAGTCTTATCAGACGAGACAGACATTACTACCCTCCTCTATGACACACATTTCTATATTAGACAAGGAGAAGGAAAGAAGTTGAGAAGAAAGGAAAAACAAAGCTGGTCTCTATAACATATCCTGTAACTTTTCTAAGAATAGTGGGCAAAGCTGGCAGCCCTGGCCTGAAAGGGTACCTGGAGGACCAGTCCATCCAGCAGCACTTGGTACCTGGTTGTATCTTTTACCACCTTGCTGAGTCTCTGTTTTGCTTCATTTAGTAGGTCCTACAAAGAGTGGAAAAGAGAAAAGTTATCTACACATCTGGGTAGCTGGCTCAGAACCCACCATGAGGCTGGTCCTGTCCCATGCCCAATTGTTTCACATTTCACTGCTGGGTTTTCATTCAATACCTTCAGTAAAGATCTATGACAAGCCAGACTCTGTTCTAAGTACGCTGATACAGGAAGCATGAAGCACCAGCCCTGCTCCCAAGGAGTTCACAGCCCAGTGGAAGAATAGCTCAGGTATCAATCAGTTCAGAAACCTACACAATTAACTGACATGGAAAGATCTTATGATACAGATTTGAAAAACAAGCTATTGAGACAGTTATAAAATATGATCCCACTTTTATCAGGAAGAAAAACAGATGATGCATATAAAGAAGTCCGTAGATCAAAACATCAACAATGTTTATCTCTGGAAGGCTGGATTGCCAATGACTTAAATTTTCTTTATGCTAGTTTGTATTTTTTAATTTACTGTGGTATTGATAATATGTGACAAATTGTTATGTTTAATGGCAAACCAATCAGACAATTTAACCATTGTTAAACATCTTCTTTATCTGTATAAAGTGCATATAATACAATTAGCAAGTGACAGAGCTGGGGCTCAAATCCAGACTGACTCCAAAACTCTATACTGCCTCCCCATTTAGTTCTGGCTGCTAAGGCCTCAGGGAAAGAGTTAGCTGGAACAATCTGCCAGGAAGAGCACAAAGGCAGCTGTTGCTCATTTCTTCCCTACCCCAAGTTATATGACTAAGACTCTCCAAGTGAGATTTGTCTGAAATTCATTCACATTTAATTTCAAACAAACATTTATTTATTTTGACAACTGCTAAGTGCAAATATGCCAAAATTAAAAAAAAAAAAAATCAGGAGTACTCACTTTAAGGGACAATTAAAAAATTTTTTACAAAATATAAAATAGATTCAAACACCTCAACAGCACCACCTAGTATTTAAATATGGTATATAGTAACAAATGGCAGCTCTTCCCTCCTCTACACACTTACTTTGCAAGGAAACAGGTTTCAGAATCAAATCTGATATTAGACAACTAACAGAACTACAAACACACTCATGATTTCTTAAGACTGTTTTAAACACACTAAGTTTATTAGTGCATTCAAAACAATCTTCGTATGAACTTACTTTTAAACAATAAGTATGCTCTACCGTAGAAGTTTTTAAATCTGTGGCTGGACAACCCCAAGAGTTTCATGAAGGTGTTCTTAGGATCCAATCAAGATTGTAATGAAGACTAGTAAATTTCTATTTAAAAAATAAATAAATAAAATGATTGTTTAAAAAAGTATATTTCACATATTGTTATATGCCTTAATATTATCTTCGCTGGATAAAACATCTAAATAAAATCCTTATATTGCACGTTATAGTGTCTCTAAAACACCGTGGTGGTAACAACTGGTTAAGCACTCAGCTGCTAACTGAAGAGTTAGTGGTTCGAACCTGCTCAGCAGCTCTGAGGAAGAAAGACCTGGTGGATCTGTTTCTGTGGATTAACAGCCAAGAAAACCTAAGGGGCAGTTCTATTCTGTCACAGGGGGTCCCTGTGAGTTGAAATTGACTCAACGGCACCTAAAAACAACAGGACACCCAAAACTAAGTGACAGAAAAAACATAGTGATGGTATATTCAATTTGGCTTTTCATATACCTGGAAATAAAGGTGAACCACACTAAAAGTGAGTTACTTGCAGAGAAATAAGTACAAAAGGGCTCCTCACCCTAAGTACAAAAATAAACCAGTTGACTTTTTTAAGCTCAAAATATCAGGTAATGAAGTTTCTGTCTACTTCAGAAACTTTTAACACGAAAATATTTTTTCTTCTTAGATTTCATTCTACATTATAATACATACTCTGTCCCCAAATCAAACATGATTTAATGCCATTCATTGGTCAATGAATCAAATTTTCATCATCTATAATTCATTTTTAGTAAATTAAACGGAGCACACCACTTGTTAAGTAGAGAAAAAGCAAGAACTTTGTATTATAACTATTTTAAGTAAACTTTAAAGTTCAGTCTTTAATATACAGATTAATTTTTTTCTTAAAAATCATTATTACATCCCACATATAATTGATAAAACGATTAAAATTCCCAGGGTAGTTTGCAAGATTCTAGTTTATTAATAAGTCAAAGAGATAGAAAATGCTCCTTTACAGCTTCCCTGTTAGAACCCAAAGTAGGAGTCCTTTATTAACAGACCATATTTAAGGGAAAAGTCCAAGTAACTGAAAAATACTTTGAAGCCTGAAACAAGTTAGCAGGCAAGTTTTGCTAAATTTGTCTATCAAGCAAAACCAAGTACTTTTAAAGAAAACAATAAAATGTCTAAACAGGACAATCATTTTTCCTCCTCTTCTAAATATAATTAGATGACAGTCACTTTAATTTTCCCATTGGCGGGATCATCTTAGTGGTTATGCTAGTGCCAGCTCTATTTCACTTCCTTTCAGTCCTTGGTCAGCTTTTATCTTAAGCATTTAGCTAACAGAGGTATTTCTATGACAACTGCTATTAAAGGAACTCACCAGAAAAACTGTAAGGCCATTAGCCTTTTCACCACATTGTATAGGATTAGCTTTAAGATTTTTCCAGTCCCCGAAGACTCAAGTGAAAGCAGAATCTCAAAATCTCCCCATAGCAACGGCCCTTCTCAAATATATTCTGCGTCAGTCAGACTAAACCATCATAGCAAGAAATATTTAAACAGTAATTCACAGCCTTACAAAGACCTGAGACTGAAGACAAAGGGTTATAATTCTGAGTGAGCCCAGTAATGGAAAGAAGTGATGACAAGACCCATGAGAAGACTGTCTTAAGTTCAAAGGAAAAATATATATTTAAAAAAAAAAAAAGGTGAGAAAATTGATTTCAGGGGATTTCAAAGAAACTAAGCAGAATATCATATGCCTTGACATTTTCAGAATTAAAATTTCTATAGGAACACAGTGAAACCATTAAGAGTTGATAAAAGATCAATCTCTAACTTTACGTGTCTATCAGAACAACCTAACCCTAGAAGTGTTATCAGCTAAATCCTAATAGCCTGGGAAGGCATCATGTAAGCCTTTAAAATGTAGGACTCTTACAGGCACAGGATTTGAAGCATATACTATACAAAACATTTAGCTGAAAAATAGCTCAGCCCTTCCCTACCAAGAGATCTCTCAAGCAATTTTCTCTTTGTGCTGGAATCAACCAATTAACATTGGCCAAGTAAACAGGGATGGACAGTATGAGTATGGTGACAGGTTTGCTCTAAGAGAATAACATCACATAAAATCAACTTGTAAACAGTGGTATTAACCATCTATAAAAGTAACCCACGGTGGAAAATAATCTGGAAATGGGTAATTGAGGAATTTTATCACCACTCAAAACTCTAAGGATGTACGGAGGTCTGAATAACCCAAACTCCAGCTAAGAAGGCTGAAACTTAGTGGATAGAAATCGAATTGACCCCTTCTAAGGAGCATTCCTGTCCACTTAACAGATATGTCACTAAAGGTGAGAAAGGTAAATTATGATCAGTGTTGCAAATCACAAATATCCTAGTGACACCCTTTGATTTGATTCTAAACCCAAACAACTTTCAAATTATAATCTGGCTCCCCATGCAGCTTTTAAGGAGATGGATCTTTACTGCTGTATTATCTCACTGTAAAATACTACAGCTCATATTTCAAGTTACGTATCAGTATTTTGAGTTTGGTATTTTTGTCCACCTGAACCTAACTGCCACTGAGGATTCTGGTCCTGAAAACCAGGAAACCAAAGTCTGATTATGATGACAACATCAAAACCATGTCTCCATGGTCCTGCCTAGTCTGAGGGGTTAACTGGCCTCCCTAGAAGATATTTTTATCTCTTATCTCTTTAACCACCACACTAGAAAGCTCTACATCAGGACCAATGAAATTAGAATTTAAATAGTGGTTCTTTCTGTCCCTTTTAAAGGAAAACATAAATAAGTTGTGAGGTTTGAGAAAATGATAATAAAGAACTATCATTTATTCAACAGCTATTTTGTGTCAAGTGCTATACTAGTTACTCTACCTAGGTTATCTCATTTAATTCTAAGTAACCTTCAGGTAGATGGTTTTCCATTTTATAGGAAATGGGAGGTGAAGAGGGTTGTTGTTGTTAGGTGCCATCCAGTCAGTTCCAACTCAAAGCGACTCTACATACAACAGAACAAAACACTACATGGTCCTATGCCATCCTCACAACTGCTGCTATCTTTGAGCCCACTGTTGCAGCCACTGTGTCAATCCATCTTGTTGACGGTCTTCCTCTTTTTCACTCACCCTCTACATTACCAAATGTCAAGGGAGTTAAGAGGGTTAAAAAATGCACCCAAACAGCTGGTAGTGGTGAAACAGAAATTCAAATCCCAATGGATTCCAAAGCTTGTGCTCTTAAAACCTGGAAAGCATCTGGACAGGCAAGGAAAAAAGGATAAATAGTAGACAAAAACAAGTAAAGGACTATGCAACTTAAACCAAAGGAGCAAATTAGTTTGCTCTTTTCTTTCCATTTTTACCCTGGTTCTGTATTTTTCCCCTTCCATTTTTTGTCAATGTCCATTTCTATCTTAACTGCTTGACAACTTGCCTTCTTTTCATAATTTTTTATTCTACAGATAAAAGCTAGAAATAAAATGTTTTAAAATGGCAAAATCCATCCCAAGCATGTTATGTGTGCTTTTATCTATGCGTAACCCTGTTTGAAGGAGCCCTGGTGGTACAGTGGTTAAGCACTTAGCTGCTAATTGATAGGTCAGTGGTTCAAACTCACCAGACACTCTGCAGGAGAAAGATGTGGCAGTCTGCTTCCTTAAAGATTTACAGCCTTGGAAAGAAACCCTATGGGGCAGTCTACTCTGTCCTATAGGGTCACTATGAGTTGGAATTGACCCGATGCCAACGAGTTTTGGTTAACTGCTTAACCTATCATTTTATATTCTGTTTTCTTATCCTCCCAGTCTCTTATTTATGTGGTTTGCTAAACTGTATGTAACTTGATGGCAAGAAGTTAGACTGGAAAGGAAAGAAGCATCTGGAATAATTAAAAATCATATGAATGTTTATTTTCACAAAACTCCATTATAAATCAGAAAGATAAAAATTCAAGTTGTATACTGAATTCAAGTTGTTATGCTACAGTATACTTGGACCTTATGTTGCAGAAAGAGATGAAACACTGACAGTCCACAAAACCAAACTTCCTAAGAGGCCATACATACTGCTTTCAGTTCCTCACCAGACACTCCCTTTTCACTCATCTGGCTGTCTGCCTTTATCATTCCAATGAACTCGCTCTGGCAAAAGTTAGCAATGACACCTTGACTGCTATCTTAGTTTCCCAGGGCTGCTGTAACAAGTCACCACAAAGTGGGTGCTTTCAATAACAGAAATTTATTGTCTCAGAGTTCTGGAGGCTAATAGTCCAAATTCAGAGTATTGGCAGGACCATGTACTCTCTGAAGGCTCTGGGGAAGATCTTTTTCTTGTTTCTGTCTGCTTCTGGTTGGAGTCCTGGTGGCGCAGTGGTTAAGAGCTCTGCTGCTAACCAGAATGTCGGCTGTTCAAATCCACCAGTCACTCCTTCGAAACCCTGTGGGGCAGTTCTACTCTGCCCTAAAGTGTCCCTATGAGTGGGAATCGCCTCCAGGGCAATGGGTTTGGTTTTTTTGGTCTCTGCTTCTGGTAGCCCCAGGCATCCCTTGGCTTGCAGCTGCAGCATTAACTCCATGGTCACATGACCCTCTTCTCTGTGTCTCCTGGTCTCTTTTCCTGTTTTATAAAAACACCACTCAGGTGGGATTAGGACTCACCTTACTCCAGTTTGAGCTCATGTCAAAGGTCTTTGAAGATGTTATCAGTTAACATCTTCTCGAAGTCAAAGACCCTATTTCCAGACAAAGTCACATTCACAGGACTGGGGAGGGGAGGGAGGAGGGCTTCAATACTGCCCACAACAATTGCCAAATCCAAAGATCACTGTGCTCTTCCTACTGTGATTTCCTGAAGCATTAAACTCTAGATTATCAGTTTGTCCTTCAAATTTTCTGTCCTCTTGGTTGCCTCCAACATGACTGCTTTTACCCAGTTTGTTTCCTTAGCAGTCTCTTATTTTCTTGCCTATTAAATTTGAAGCTTCTTAGTTTGTTTACTTGGACTTCTCTTATACATAAATATAAGTCACAATCCGCTCCTGAGCCCCACACTCACACTGTTCACTTGGCTTCCTAAGGCAATTCAAACTCAAAGGTTTATCACCATTCCTCTACTGTTAAAAAAAAAAGAAAAAAAGAAAAAAAAACAACCCTTAGCAGCCCTATAGGACAGTGCAGAGCTGCCCCATAGGGTTTCCAAGGAAGGGCTGGTAGACTTGAACTGCCGACCTTTTGGTTAGCAGCTAAGCTCTTAACCACTCCTCCTAAACTGTTACTCCTTCTATATTTCTTATCTTCACTCACCTATTCAGTTGCCTAACCCAGACCTTTAAATCATTCTTGATGCCTTTTTTTCCATTCACTCATCACAACCAGAATTTCCGTCTGAAAGCTAAGCCAGTATTTATTTATTTAAAAGGATTTAAAGCAGCTTATAGAAACATCCAGTAAAAAATTTAAATCTGATATAAAATAACTAATAAAATATAAATAAGTGAATGAAAAGATCCAGGCAAACATAAAATAAGTATAAGAAATAGCAAGTTAAAACTTACTTCACAATGACAATGAGTAACAGAAGAAGTAGGAGGTATCCAGGTTGGGTTCCTGAATATAATTCAAATACCTTTAGAGCTTCTTGACTAAGTGGTAAATTTCTGTAGGTTTCTGCCCTCTTTCTTGGATGATGAATACTTCCGAACTGGTTTTCTTATTTCTAACTTCTTCCCTGTTATTAGCCTACACATTCATATCATAAGCCCTACTTATCATAGTCCCCACCCAAAAAAAAAAAGACAAAACAACACAACAACTTCAATGACTGCCTATTAAAAAAAGGTGAAGCGCTTTAGTCTTGTCCTCATGGTCCCTATACTAACCTCCCATCGTACCTCTCTAGCCTTATTATTAGTCCCTATTACCCGCATAATTTTATAGCTAATAGGGGCTAATTACTCACTGTGATTAGGTCATCTCTTGCTCTGAGGACTTTCAGTCTTGCTTGATTCATCAAATTGGACATCTGACTGCAAAAAGTATGGAAAAATAGTATCAGCACAACATAAAAAACAAAATAAATATATAGTTTCCTATACAGTACAATGAAGATTTGATAAATGACCAATACTTTTCTTTCTAATGACCAAAGAGAACCCCACTGAGACACATTTAGTGATTTCTACCAACTTGTTTCCAAAAATAGGAAATATTTATTGAGTGCTTACCAAGTGACAAGTACTTTTCACATTTGTTATTCCAATCAAAATTTTCAACAATCCTATAAGGCTTCCATTTTCACAAATGAGGAAAGCAAAGTTAAGCAACTTGCCTGCCCCCCACCCCCCCCCAAAAAAAAACAAAGACCATTGCTGTCGAGTGGATTCCGACTCATAACGACCCTATAGAACAGAGTGGAACTGCCCCATAGAGTTTGCAAGGTGCGCCTGGTGGATTCAAACTGCCGACCTTTTGGTTAGCAGATGTATCTCTTAACTATTATGCCACCAGGGTTTCCTCAAGGTCAAAGAAATAGTATACGGTCAAGTCAGGACCTGAACCCTATCTGCCTGACTCCCAAGCCCCTGCTTTGTTCCCTTGTCTCACAGACCTTTGAAAGATTCTTTAGCTTAATACTGTGACAAGGATCTACTTACATTTTCTTCTGCTGCTCAATTTGCTTTTCTTTCTTCTCATAGTATTCCATAATCTTCAGTCTTTGGGTTTGCACAAGACGACCTTTCTCAATGTTGAACTCTTCTTCTGCCTACCAGGGAATTCACATGAATTCATCTCACTCAGATATTTTATTTTTATGGTTGTACTTTAAGTGAAAGTTCACAATTCAAGTTAGTCTCTCATACAAAAATTTATACATATGCTGTTATGTGACCCTAATTGCTCTCCCTATACTGTGATAACACACTCCTCCTTTCCACCCCTGATCTCTCATGTCCATTCAACCAGCTCCTGACCCTCTCTGCCTTCTTATCTCACCTCAGGACAGGAGCTGCCCATTTAGTCTCATGTATCTACTTGAGCTAAGAAGCACACTCTTCACGAGTATCACTTTATGTCACATAGTCCAGTCTAATCTTTGTCTGAAGAGTTGGCCTTGGGAATTGTTTTAGTTCTGTCACCCAGATATTTTAAACTGTGGTAAATATATACATAACCTTTGCCATTTCAACATTCTTCACATGTACAATTCAATGACATTAATTGTGTTCATCATGTTGTGCAACCATCACTGCAGTGCGACTGATTACTTTTGTGTGTGGCCTTTCTAACCATGGTCTTGTAATGCCCACTCAGGTGACTGGGCGGGACTGCGTGATAGGGTAATTGTGACCCACCAACGGAACTGGTCGGTTCTGCCATCCTGCTAGGCTTGAAATGAGCCACCCCCAGAAGAGAAGAGCCTACCACCACCAAGGAAGGAGAGACCAACAGGAGAGACCAGAAGCAGGAAGACAGCGGAGTGGGCTTCACGGCCCACAGAGAGAGAAAGCTGAGTGCCTTTGGGGAGAGGTGTGCCTGCGAGTACAACTGGGAAGAGGCTGTCCTGATGGAAGAACTATATCCTGAGTGTTCCTTCCTGAGCCTGAATTGCAACTGTTACTTCCCTAATAAACCCTGTAATCATGAATATGGTCTTTGAGTTGTGTGTGGCCACTGCAATGAATTATCAAACCCAGCAGAGAAGTAGAGACTGCTGCGTGAGAGACGGTTGGTATCAGAATTAGTAAAGATGGCAGAGAGAGGAGGCTTATCTGACCTCCACCTCATAGGAATCAGCCTTGGGCTGTTGATCTTGGTTCTCCTTTCCCCTTGTTGGGTTGGAGGAGGTCAGACACTGCCCCCAAATGCATTTACTTATGTGGTCCACAATAAATTTCTACATTTGGTCCAAAAAGAAATAAAGGAATTAATACTGCAATGAGTCTATGACCATCTAAGCAATACTAAACAACAGCCAGTCAACTGTCGTATATTAGTGGAAGGCAAAACAGTCTTTTCTTTCTTAAATGATAAATCAGTCAAATAGTTCAAAGTTTTAGTCCTGGAATACCAAGCCCATCCAATGTTAAGGCTGTCCTGGTAAGTAACAAATGTAACTAAAGTAGAATATATTAAAAGGATGATGAAAATAAAATAAATAATGCATTTTAATCATATTTGAATAGCAAGTTTTTAAAATGTTTGTTACGACTATACCGAGGGAAAAGGAAAATTTGATACACTGTTGAGGAAGGTAAATTGGTATAGATAATGTGCAACAGGAAATGTCTATAAAAATTTTAAATGCTGAATGAATGTCATCTTTGTGATGGACAGGCTTTCATTTTATACCTTACATACTTGCAAACTTTTTTTTTTTTTTTTTTGCAATGAGCATAGATTAATAAAAAAGCAAATACAAACTAAAAATACTATACCTTTCCCTAACCAACTATCACAGTTAGCCACAGATACTAAATCTCTGAAGTATGGATTCCATGAGAAAATTAACCCATCTATTTCTAGCCCCTATCATAAAACTGCAGGCCACTTACTGGCAATCAGAAACAATTAGAGAGAAAAAATTATTTTTTTGACATTAAAGATACTTATATTCTTACACTAAACCAAAAAACCAAACCTACTGCAGTCAAGTCAATCCAGACTCATAGCGACATTCTTATAGTTCTATGCAATATGCAGTTAAACATGCTTATTTATAATACTGTTTAACAAAGCAAAACAACATGAAACTGTGATAACGTCTTAAAACTAGAAAACAGAATCTCACCTTTGCATCTATTTCTTCTGCCTTCTCATTGGCTTCTTGTTCAATGAAAGCCATCATGTGCTTAATCTGTAAGAAAAAAGAAAAGATTAGTTTACTTTTGAATTCAACGAGGAGAAAACATGACATCTACGTTTTCTGATTCATTCAACAATCACACGTTATTAAATATTATGTGCCAAGCACTGTGTACAAAGATAAATGCTCTCAGGGAATTTACATCTGGAATTTGTACTACCAAATGAACAAGATGGAATATACGATGTTGCTGTTAGCTGCTGTCAAGTCCGCCCCTGACTATGGAGATCCCATGCACAATAGATCAGACCATTGAGATCCATAGGATTTTCACTGACTGATTTTTGGAAGTAGATTGCCTGGCCCTTCTTCCTAGTCTGTTTTAGTCTAGAAGCTCTGCTGAAACCTGTTCAGCATCATAGCTACATGCAGGCCTCCACTGACAGCTGAGTGGTGACTGTGCATGCAGTGCATTGGCTGGGAGCTGAACCAGGTCTCCAGCATGGAAGGTGAGAATTCTACCACTGACCAACCAATACCCCCTGCAATACACAATAACACAGATAAATAGGACATCATCCTACTGTCAAGGAACTTGAAGTCTGCTGGAAAGGGATGACTGCATATATACCCTCCTCCACGTCATATGCCACTTTAGCCAGCACCCTCTTTCTTTTCTCTATCACTAATAAAATGTGTCAAAGAGTTATCTATGTTTACTCTTTTTCAATTTTCTTACCTCCTACTCTCAACACACTTCAATCTGACTTCTGCCCCTTTCATTCCACTAAAAGTACTCTCATAAAGTCAGAACAATCTCTTTGCCCTTAAATCTTGGCCTAATCTTACTTGATATGTTGACCAACCCCCCCACCCCACAACAATCTCTTCCCTTTGCTTCCATGACTTTCTCCTCTGTTCTCTGGTTACTCCTGCTCAGTCTCCTTTGGGGTCACACTCTTCTTCCTCTGCTTCCTAGACAGCTCTTCGATATTCTACTCCCAGTAACCTCAAATTCAACATATTCAATACTGAACCCCTTATTACTCTTCTGCCCCCACTTTGATCTCCATCCTACAGCATCTCTATCTAATAGCACTAACACTCTCAATTTTGACTCTTCCTGTACCTCAGTCCTCACATCCAATTGGTCAACAAGTTCTACCAAATCTCCCTTCCAATAGTCAGAATCAACTTGATGGCACACAACAAATAGTTCTTTAATTTATCCACATTTCTCCACCTTCACAGTCACTACTCTAGTCCTTGCCATCATCATCTCTCAGCTGAATTATTCCAAGAGCTTCTAAATTTGTTTCCCTGCCTCCAGTCTTGTTCCCTCTCTAATCTACTCTACACTGCAACCAGAGAGAGCTTTTCAAAATGTCTATCTTATCAAGTATCACTCACCCCAAGACTTCTCATTGCCTTTAAGATACAGAACAAAGATTTTAGAAGGTAAATGATGTGATCACTGCCTACTTTTCCAGCATCACATGTAATAACCCTTTACCACTCACCACTCTTCAAACTCTTAGTTCCTGCCATACCAAACTTACTTCAGTTTTTCGGTTCCTTAGGCTCATCATTCTCTTTCTCACCTCCAAGACGTCAAACAGGCTGTTCCTTCCACTTGGAAACACTCTTCCTCCCCCTCTTCACCTAGAAAACTTCTCAACCTCAGTTTGTTTAACTGTCACCTCCTGTGGGAAATCTCTCCTGAACTCTTACCTATGTGCCCCTAAAGCATTCTGTATTTCCTCTATCATGGCACCTAAGCGCACATTAGTAATTACTTGCTTACTTGCCCCTATTCCGAACTAAACTATGAGATTAAACCAAAACGAAAAACAAAAACCAAGCTAGTTGCCATCAAATCAGTTCCAATTTATGGTGACCTCTTGGGTGTCAGAGTAGAACTGTCCTCCACAGGGTTTTCATGGCTGTGACTTTTTGGATGCAGATCACCAGCTCTTTCTTCCAAGGCACCTCTGGGTGGGTTTGAACTGCCAAGCTTTTAGTTAGCAACCCAGTGCCACTCAGAGACTCCAACTATGAGGCCAGGAACTTGTTAAAGGGTTTTAGATCCTTGGCTACAGATGGAGAATAAAGTCCACTGAAGGCTTCTGAATGGGTTTGGGGGTGACTGATCCAACTTAGACTCATAAATGAACTACTGTCTCCATTGGGAAATATAAAATATGCCAGGCAACACAGCTAATCAAACTTACTGGCAGTGGAAGAATAGTTTCATTTCAGAGAGGTGCTACCTAAAAGAAGTAATGTACCAAAACATAATTATATAGAACCTCTAGGTTATGAATTCGTTTTGATTATTGCTCAATTTCTCCCACTAAAAGTAAGTTCCATTAGTAATAGGAATCTTGTCTGTCTTTTAGACCACTGTACCTGAAAAATATGGAACAATTGTGACAATAGTATGTGCTCAATAAATATTTGTGAATGAATGAGAATCAGTCAGGAATTTCAAGCCTTCTGAGGAGTACACGGTATCCCAGGTACTCTTTCAGGTTTAACAATCAGGAAATAATTCCTATAGCAGCTTCTCCACGTAACACAAAGATACCATAAATCTAAGAGACACATATGTGTACAAAATGAGTTAAGTACTCTTTGTAGCATCAAAATCTTTAAAAAAACACAGTATGGTTTTAAAAGGGGGCAGATTTATTCTTTTATCAAAATTCTTATGCTACTACTCGACAAGCCAAAATAATTATGATAATCAAGGCCTATTTTATAGATAACACAATACTAATAAAATCTCAGGTCTAGAAGTATTTAGGGGAACTAGTCCAGAGCTTCATTTATGCAAAATTATTGTGGCCTTGCTAAAAGGATTACCGAATTTGTAGGATAGTGGGGGTAGTGAGGAATGGTGTCTCCACAAATTCAGTTTTAAACCTCACTGAATTTATTCTGTCTGGAATTCTAAAAGTAGCTTAGCTAAATACAGTAATCAAAACAGGTATTTATAAATGCTACAAAACATGTTCTGGCCTGTAAAAGTGAGCTATTTCAAACCTGCATTATCTGCCTTTGTTACTGCTGCTGGACCCTTGGCTACCAGATCTAACTAGATTAGCATGGCTTAGAGCGGAAACACACTGATTTTAACCCAGGCCAGAGAAGCCTTACTATTTACAGTCAACATGGTCATATTTAGTCTTTTTAATTAAGAGTTCTGAGACAAGAAACAGCCAAACCTTTAAGGACATTTATGCCACCCCTAATACAGAAAAATTTAGTCTTTAAAAGCATACTTTTCTTCTTCCTGTTAACTCAGTAACCAAGCTTTCTGAAAGGTTGAATTCCTTTGAAAATTTGATAAAATAGATGACCATACTCCCCAAACAAAAAAGAAACACACATACAAATACTTTAATACAATGAGAAAGAAGTTAGGGAATCCAGGATTTATTTGGCACCTAGCATATACTTGGCATTTAGCCTATTCACTACTGGGAATTCAGTGAACAAAACACTACCTTAATGGAGCTTACATTCTAGTGTAGAAGGGTACAGACCATACATAACATTTCTTCACTCTTTCAATCTTACAGAAAGAAAAAATGATTTGGTCTAGAGTCCAAGAAAATACACTGCTCTGCCTTTATATTTTTTCGGGGAAGCCTTGTTGTGTGGCAATTTCAACTCACAGCGACCCCATGGGACAGTGCAGAATTGCACACAGGGCTTTCTTGGCTGTAATCTTTACAGGAGCAGATCTTCAGGTCTTTTTCTCATGGAGCCACTGGATGGGTTCAAACTGCCAATCTCTGATTAGCAGCTGAGCTCTTAACCATTGCACCACCACGGCTCCTGGGGAAGCCTTAGTCTTCAATATATTATAACAAGCAGGAAGATGAAGGAACAAGAGAGTCAGTATCAAAATTGTGACAACGAGAGTATGTGGAGGGTCCCATACCTTTCCAATGCATCAAGTTTATGCCATATTAAAAACCAGAAGCAGGGGACCTCAAACCATCAAGAAAGCAATGCCAGGAGCAGAGCGCGTCCTTTGGACCGGGGTCCCTGCGCCGAGAAGCTCGTAGTCCAGGGGAACACCGAAGAGAAGAAGGCTGACAGACAGAAAAAGCCTTCCCCTGGAGCTGACACCCTGAATTTCGAATTTTAGCCTACTTTGACAGTGAGGAAATAAATTTCTCTTAGTTAAAACCATCCACTTGTGGTATTTCTGTTATGGCAGCACTAGATGATCACTAAGACAGAATTTGGTACCGAGAGAGTGGGGTGCTGCTCTAACAGATACCTAAAATGTGGAAGCAGTTTTAAAACTGTGAATGGATAGACGTGCCGCAGTGACAGAGGACCGGCAGCAGCAGAGAAGCAGCAGCAGCAGAGAACCAACAGCAGCAGAACCAGGAAACTGGTGAAAGACGGTGCTGGAGCTGACCCACAGAGCGAGAGAGATGAACGCCTGTGAGCAGGAGGCTTCTTGGCGGAGTGGGGTGCCTCTGGGCACTTATGGGTGGAGCTAGGCTTGCCGACCCGAACCCACAGAGCAAGGGAGCTGAGTGCCTGTGCGCAGAATGCCTCCTGCCAGAGTGGGGTGCCTCTGGGCACTTACTGGTGGAGTTACGGAGCTTTGGAACACTTGCCCCAGCAGGGCGTGAGGCCCGAGGGCTGAGGGGCCATAAGAAGCAGAAGCTGAAGAGACAAGGGACACAAGAAGCCAAGCTGCTTCAGCCTCAAAAGGTATGGCCATGACCTCAGGGGTTTCAAAGGGTGGAGCCATGGCCTCTAGTGTTTCTAAGGGTGGAATTGTCACTGTATGGACTAGGAGAATGGTGCGCCTAAAGCCAAGGGAGCAGAGTTGCTGTCCCAGTGGGCCTGGAAGGCGGAGCTGAAGCCCGGGGCTGAGGGGCCTCCACTCAAAATCCAGAGACTGTGGCCAATACCTAGAGTCTGGAGGGCAGGGCTATTGTGGAAATTGTCTCAGAGAACAGAAGATTATTTTCAAAGCCTTGAGGGCTAATGTAATGTGTTCTGCTGACTTGCTTGGTGCCTGTTATCACTTTTTTCCCTCTAGTTTCTCCCATTTGTAATGGAACTGTCTAGCTTGTGCCTGTTCTGCCATTGTACCTTTGGAAGCAAATAACTTGTATTCCATATTTCACAGATGAAGAGGAATTTTTGGATTTTGGACTTGGAGTTAAGACTTTTGCTATGATATGATGGGGTGAATATGTTTTCCATGTTGTACGGATGTGATTGTGGGGGAGCCAAAGGGTGGAACGTCATGGATTGAATTATGTCTCCCCAGAAATGTGTTTATCAGTTTGGCTGGGCCATGATTCCTGGTACTGTGTGATTTTCCTATATGTTGTAAATCCAGCCTCTATGATGTTAATAAGGGAGGATGGGTGGCAGTTGTGTTAGTAAGGCAGAACTGGATCTACAAGATTGGATTGTATCCTGAGGCAATCTCTTGAGATATAAAAGACAGAAGTGAGCAGTGAGACAGGGGGACCTCATACCATCAAGAAAGCAGTGCCAGGAGCAGAGCACATCCTTTGGGCTGGGGTCCCTGCGCCGAGAAGCTCCTAGTCCAGGGGAACACCGAAGAGAAGAAGGCCGACAGAGAGAAAGAGCCTTCCCCTGGAGCTGACACCCTGAATTCGGACTTTTAGCCTACTTTGACTGTGAGGAAATAAATTTCTCTTTGTTAAAACAAAACAAAACAAAAAAACCAGAAGCAGTGATGACATAAGTTTAAAAAAAAAAAAAAAAACCATTATTCTGTAAGAATACTGGAAGATTTCTTAAACTTCTCTGTTGATGCTATTTTTGTTACCCCTCTTCCTCTTTGTGATTAATTCAAGAATCACTGAAATGAAAAAGTATTCCATTCTTCTTGGTGCATATTAGGTTAAGAATAAAATGAAAAGGCATTTTCAAGGAAATGGAAACATCCACGGAAAAAAGCATTTTATCCTATTGCTCATCTAAGAAGATTCATAAACCAGTGTGCTTTAGTCAGAGAACTTTCCTAGTACTTCAAAAATAAGTAGGTTTAGTTCTCTAAATTATGCGGAGATTAAATAGCAGCCTTAAGCTTCTGCCTCTGAAAAACCTATTGGCAATATGACTACTAAATATACTACTAAACGCAAGGTCCCCGGTTTCGGAACATCTGTTGACAGGGGAAATGGCAACCCCGTTTGTCACGTTAGTTATAGGCCACTATATTTTCCTGAAAGGCTTTTGCATTACAATATTCCTAAAGCCCAGTCTTGAAGGTATGGCACATTTTTAAAAACTAAACAAGTTTCCCAGGACCGAGTACACACTTGTAAAGTTGATGTAGGTTCACGACTTCCATAACAATTTTTTCCATAAATCCTGACTCATCTACTTTGTGCCAAACACTGTTAGGTGCTGCGGCTCATAAATGGAACAAAAAGAGGAGTACCAACATTTGACAAATATTACCATACTGAATAGTGGGAGACAAACCATTACAACTCATTATGACAGAAGAGACTCCTCCACGATGAAGATTAACAGTTCATAAAGTAGATGACCTCAAAACAACATTGGAGGCAGGTCTCTTCCCTTAGCACTGTTTCTTTCCTTTCATATATCATGATCCCTTCCCTCAGGGTCAAAAATCAAGTGAAGAGGTAGTTTTCAATCACTGCACAGATCTGTGCTCTATCAAGCACGGCAAATACCCCGTGAAAATAGAGACTGGGAGCTCAACGAGGCGGCGGCGCGCAGGCAGGTGGGCAGAGCGCAAGACCCAAGCAGAAGTCACATGAGCTACGGGGTACCGCCGGGCGGCAAGTCACCCTCCCGCAGACAGACCCGAAGACTTCGGAAAAGGACCCTCCTCCAGTACCTGAGCTGCCAAAGGCCCCCCGCGCTCCCTGAGCCCGGGCCCCAACCCACCACTCCCAGGACCGGCGCCGCGGCTTCACGGGACCCAGCCCCAGGCCCTCACCTGCTTTTGCACGTCAGCATCGCTGAGGGCCATGGCGAAAGCTTTGCTAGGCCAGTGGGCAACAAGCTGGAGTTTCGGTTTGAAGCGGGCGGCAGAATGAAGAGACGAAAACCCGGCGTAGCTTTCAGCTTTATAACCCGGCTTCCGGTTCCTGCCAGGTGACAGTGCAGCCCAACCCCAAGCGCCTTCTCAGCCAGTAGGAAGAGAGCGGGCTTCGGGAAGTCCCGCCCCCGCCCCGCCCAGTCTGGCCTTTTCCTGCCTGGGTGTATGCGGAGACAGTCCTGCTCCAGAGTCGCTTTATATCCCTGGCTCTTGAGTTTACCCTGCACAGCTTTCCTGGAATGCCTGCTGCCTTGTAGAAGAGAGAAAATGAATTCTTGCATCTGAGATTAGTCATTAGTTACCATGCCTTTTTTTTTTTTAATCTCCTGTAATCTGAAATAGTTCCTCAGACTTTGTCTTTCCTGACATTGATATTTTCTTTGAAGAGTACAGGCCACTTGTAGAAAGTCCCTCAATTTGGTTTTGTCTGATATTTAACTCATCATTAGATTCACGTTATGCACTATGGCAGGAGGACTACATGTGTGATATTGTGTCCTCAGTGCATCATATCAAACAGCACATGTCAGTTTGATCTTTTAATGAGAGTGGCACACACATTTTCACGAGTTTTGTATATGCTGTGGAATTGTTTTCCAGTTTGTAGTAGTGGACAGTGTTCCTTGTAGTGTGTGACAGATTGTTACACTTACTTGAGATGACTGGTAATGTTGGATAAGGAAAGGATTTAACCACAGGAGAATAGAATTATCGGGGCAACAAGTTAAGGTTGACCTTAACTTCATCAATATTCTAATAACTGAGCTAAACCAGACAATAGGATTTTTTTCTCTAACTTTGTTAATTCTTGCCTTAATAACTTCATTTTTCACCATCCCAAAAGACAGATTCCTGGTATTATGCCTCCCTGTAGCTTTCTTAGGCCGGGATGAGGTAGCATTCACTCATTTGGATTACAATCCTCCTCCAATTTATTTTAAAAATATTCTGCAAATAACTGGAGTTGAGAAGTTGGAGCAGCAATCTAATGCCACATATCAAATAGGTTTTGAAATTAATGCTTAGCCCAGGTGTAGCACTGTCCAGATCAATATGCTTTTGGTTTTTGGGAAACAGTATGCTGATCTTTATGATTTATTATTATTTTGAGACATTAAAAAATACAGAAAAGTACAAAGAATAATTCAGATATTCACATACCATCACCCATAATTGACAATTAGCATTTGTCACATTTGCTTCAAGATTTTAATTTTTAAATAAAAGAAATAGCATTATGCTAAGTGAATTCAGTCAGTCGTAAAAGGACAAATGTTGTATAAGACCACTATTATATGAACTCAAGAAAAGGTTTAAACACAGAAGAAAACATTCTTTGTTGGTTACGAGGGTGGGGAGGGAGGGAAAGGGGTATTCACTAACTAGATAGTAGACAAGAATTATCTTAGGTGAAGGGAAGGACAGCACACATTACTGGGGAAATCAGCACAACTGGACTAAACCAAAGCTAAGAAGTTTCCTGAATACAACCAAACACTTCAAGGGACAATGTAGCAGGGGCAGGGTTCTGGGGACCGTGGTTTCAGGGGACATCTAGGTCAACTGGCATAACAAAGTTTATTAAGAAAATGTTATGCATCCTACTTTCGTGAGTGACATCTGGGGTCTTAAAAGCTAGCGAGAGGCCATCTAAGATGCATCAATTGGTCCCAACCACCTGGAGTAAAGAAGAATGAAGAACACCAAAGTCACAAGGAAAGTATTAGCCCAAGAGACAGAAAGGGCCACAAAACCAGAGACTTCATCAGCCTGAGACCAGAAGAACTAGATGGTGCCCAGCTACCATCAATGACCACCCTGATAGGGAACACAACAGAGAGTCCCTGATGGAGCAGGAGAAAAGTAGGGCGAAGAACTCAAGTTCTAGTAAAAAGACCATACTTAATGGTGTGAGACTGGAGGAACCCCAGAAAGCATGGCCCCCAGACTCTGTCAACCCAGAACTAAAACAGTTCCCGAGGCCAACTCTTCAGACAAAGATTAGACTGGATTATGGGACATAAAATGATACTCGTGAAGAGTGTGCTTCTTGGCTCAGGTAGATACATGAGACTAAATAGGCAGCTTCTGTCCAGAGGTGAGATGAGAAGGCAGAGGGGGTCAGGAGTTGGTTGAATGGACGCGGGAATCGGGTGGAAAGGAGGAGTGTGCTGTCACAGTATAGGGAGAACAGTTAGGGTTACATAACAATGTATGTATAAATTTTTGTATGAGAGACTAACTTGAATTGTAAACTTCCCCTTAAAGTACAACAATAAAAAATAAAAATAAATAGGAAAACTTGAGGTAGGTATGCCTGCCGCAAAAAAAAAAAAAAAAAAAGAAATAGTGTTACAAATACAGTTAATAACCCCTTTTGAGCCCTGCCCCTGCCTCCCATGTTAATACTTTCTAAGACCACAGCTTCTGCAGTGTTTTGCTGATTCACCAAGGAACAGGCCAGGACCTGTCTGATAAGAATGTGGTAAGCTTCACAGAGACAGTCCCTGGAGTGAGAAAGTTATGAGTACATGCACAGAGTGACCAATCGGTATTTTTCCAAATCCAATTTCCTCCTATACTGCCTTAGGTCTTGTGAAAAAACTATTAAAGCAGCTTTTTAGAACTATTTAAAAAATCCCCACTCCTGGATAAGCCTATTTGCCTACGGCTTCACCAAAATCACTGGCCTAGATAACTGTCAGTTTAGTCACAAACAGATGGTTTGTGGCATTGTCTCACCTGCTACCATGCTGAGGCTTCACTATGTGGTTTAATTAGAAATTGAGTCAGCAGAATAGATAAGCTAACTCATGAGTCTGTTTGCTGGGGAGAACCTAGAGGAAAAGACTAGAAGTTAATGTAGATTATTTCCATCTTTGAATGTTTGAGGAATCCGTTTAGAAAGAAAAAAAGGTAGCAAAAAGCAGAACTCTAATTCAGGTGCCTGCACTTTTGCCGTTTTCCAACCAATTTTCCATAAAGCAGAAAGAGTGATTTAAAACCCAGATGGCATCCACTCACTCCCCAGTTTATAATCCTCTGGAAACCCGGGTGGTGTAGTGGTTAAGTGCCACAGTTGCTAACCAAAAGGTGGGCAGTTCAAATCCACCATGCGCTCCTTGGGAACTCTATGGGGCAGTTCTACTCTGTCCTGTAGGGTCACTATGAGTCGGAATCAACTCAATCGCAATGAGTTGGTTTTAGTAGCTCCATTTGTTCCTAAACACCTCACAACATGGCCTCTATGAATGCTGCCTGATCAGGCCCTTGAACAGACACTTCTTAAATTTTCTGGATACAAGTTCTTTGTCAGATATACGTTTTGTGACTATTTTCTCCCAAACTGTGGTTTGCCTTTTCATTTTCTTAAGTTTATTTTGATAAGCATATTTTAATTTTGATGATGTTCAGTTTAATAATTTTTCTTACATTGTTCATGCTTTTGGTGTCCTAAGAAATCTTGACCTACCCAAAGGTTGTGAAGATATTCTTGTTTTTTTCCCAAAAGCTTTACAGTTTTTGCTATTATATTTAGATCTATGATCTATCTCAAATTAATTTTTTTATATAGTGTGAGGCAGGGATGGAGGTTCAAGGTTCATTTTTTTCCATACATTTATTTAGCTGTTCCACAACCATTAGCTGAAAAGACTTTCTCCTTCCTCATTGAATTACACTGGTGCCTTTTATCAAATACCAATTGACCATATATGTGTGGGTCCATTTCTGGACTTTGTTATGTTCTATTGATTTGTCTATCCTTATGCCAATACAGAGTCCTGGTGGTACACTGTTTAAGAGATCGGCTGCTAACCAAAAAGTTAGCAGTTCAAATGCGCCAGCCGCTTCTTGGAAACCCTATGGGACAGTTCTCTGTCCTGTAGTGTCACTATGTGACTTGACAGCAATGGGTTTGTTATGCCAATATACCATTTTGGATACTACAGCTTTATATTAAGTCTTAGAATCAGGTAGTGAGACTGGCAATTTTTTTTAAGATTGTTTTGGCTATCTTTGGTCCTTTGCATTTCCGTATTAATTTTTAGAATCAATTTGTTAACTTTTTATTTATTGTTTTACAAAAACAGCCTGTAGGGATTTTGTTTGGGATTGCTTTGAATATGTAGATAGATCAATTTAGAAAGAACTGATATTTTAACAATAGTGAGTCTTCCATGAGTCTTCTAATTTCTGAACACGGTATAGCTTTGCATTTACTTAAAGCTTAATTTCTCTCAGCAATGTTTTAGTTTGTGTAGAGTTTGCATCCTTTTAAAAAATTATAACGTATTTTTTGATGCTATGTAAATGGAATATCTATTTTTTTTTACTGTCTGCTAGTATAGAAATCAAATTGATTTTTATATCTTGTGACTTTGTTAAATACACTTCTTGGTTCTAGTAGTTGTTTTTAGGTTCTATAGGATTTTCTATGTAAACAATACATAAAATGTGATGTTTTAAACCGAACTCTGACTGTAAATTCTTACTAAGATATATTCTATGGGCGAAAAGCTGCCAAGAAATCTTAAACTTTACTCAGTTTTACTGTACTAGTAACTATGTATTAATTTTGAAATTATTTTATGTATATTGTAGGGTAAAGCAAATAAGTTGCCATTAATGTTATGAGGAACCAAGAGATACAAATATGAGAAAAGAAAAATCCTTCATGTTATATTTGTTATATTCAAATACATTTGTTATATTTGAATTGAAGGCATCTATTTGAATTTATGACTTAAAAAAAAATCTCCTAGATGTATCCATTGAGAGGGCCTAGAAGTAAGGACATCTGGTAGAAGTAAGGATACCTAACATTCATATCTTGGTTTCTAAACGTTATTTCCTTCTAAAAGGAACCAGGGCCCCTTGGAGAAATGACTGATTCCCAGTCTGGGGCAGGGAAGGTACAAGGTGAATCTGGACATCTTATTTTACCAGTGAGCAAGAAAGCTCTCAAAAAGACTCCCATGTCCTTTGACACAGAAGTGCACCTGAAAGGGCTCTCACTGGCCAAATTAGGGACAATTTGGAAGTCAAAAAGAATAATGACTGTATTTTAAAACATTAAATAAAAATCCATTTCTCTATAATGTTAAACAGTAAAAACAAATGAAAAGAATACTCACTTCAGCATGCAGTGATTATTACATGTCTTGGTCATCTAGTGCTGCTATAACAGAAATACCACAAATGGATGGCTTTAACAAAGAGAAGTTTATTCTCTCACAGTCCAGTAGGCTACAAGCCCAAATTCAAGGCGTCAGCTCCAGGGGAATGCTTTCTCTGTCAGCTCTGGAGGAAGGTCCACGTCATCAATCTTCCCTTGGTCTGGGAGCTTCTCTGTGCAGGAACCTCTGGTCCAAAGGACTCGCTCTGCTGCCGGCACTGCTTTCTTGGTAGTATGAGGTTCCCATGTGTCTCTGCTCGCTTCTCTCTTTTATATCTCAAAAGAGATTGGCTTAGATACTATCCAGTCTTGTAGCTGTCATCAGTATAACCGCATCATAGTGATAGAATTTACAACAGGTAAGGAAATCACATATAACCTCATCACAGCAGTAGAGTTTATGACACATGAAATCACATTAGATTACAAAATGGTACACAATCATACAATACTGGGAATCACGACCCAGCCAAGTTGACAGATATTTTTGGGGGACACAATTCAATCCATGACATTACACTAACTCTATACTCTGAAAATTGGTAATTACAAGAAATGCTTAAGTATTTAGTCTGCTTTTTTTTTTTTTTTCCAGGAGCAATGGCAATTAATCCCCAGTTGATTCTGTAAATAAAAAAAAGCTCTTATTTACAGAATGCCAGCTAAGAAATGTAGAAAAATAGAATTAGGAAATCACTATTTTCAATGTTCAATGAAAATTATTTAGGCAAGAATAATAAATGAATGCTAAAAATATTAGGTGAAACGTTATTGGGGAATAGGATCAAATTTAGCATCACTAATAATGGGACACCAGACACATTAAATGCTCCTATATAATGCAATCTGAAGTACACAGCCTAACCTATGAAGAACTTTTTTCCAGAAATGTTTAATCTGAATCTAATCAAGCCTTTACATCTGGTCTCCTCAAAAAGCCAATGTCATTTAAAAAAAAATATTTAAGAGACTAATAAAAGGTAACAACCAAATGCAATGCATGCAAATTGATTAAATCCTGGCTTAAAAAGAAAACAGCTATGAAGGAATTATTTGGGCAATTGGGGAAATGTAAATACGGGCTGGATATTAGATAGTATTAGGAAATTATTTCCAACCCTCTTAGAGGCTGACTAAGCCTTTTCTTGGCAAATCTCTTCCCTATTTCTCTGTTAATGGCACCAACATTTTCTGTCACTCAGGTTTAAAGCATCCGATGACATCCATCTCAATCTTCTCTTCATTTCCACCATCTCTCTATCAGTTCCGGTTTTTATCATTCCTTCTTTAACAGCTTTATTGAGCTATCTCACATATCATTTAATTCACCATTTAGCTACCTAACCATCACTACAATCAATTTTAGAACATTCTTACCACCCTAAAAAGAAACTCTGTACCCATTAGCAGTCACTGCTTGTTAAGGAGTGAATTGTTTCCCCCCATAATGTGTGTCAACTTGGTTACGTCATGATTCTCAATATTGTGTAGTTGTCCTCCATTTTCTGATCTGATGTAATTATCCTAGGTGTTGTAAATCCTAACCTCTATGATGTTAATGAGGTAGGATTAGAGGCAGTTATGTTAAGGAGGCAAAGCAATCTACAGGATTAGGTTATATCTTGAGTGAATCTCTTTTGAGATATAAAAGAGAGAAGAGAGCAGAGAGGACAGGGACCTCATTACCACAAGCAAGAAGATGCAGGAGGGAGCAAGTCCTTTGGCTGGGTCCCTGTGCTAAGAAGCTCCAAGACCGGGGAAGAATGATGACAAGGACCTTCCCCCAGAGCCAACAGAGAGAGAAAGCCTTCCCCTGGAGCTGGTGTTCTGAATTTGGACTTGTAGCCTCCTAAACTGTGAGAGAAGAAATTTGTTTGTTAAAGCCATCCACTTGTATTTCTTTTACAGCCGCACTAGATAACTAAGACACTCCCCATCAGGCCTTCATCACTTCTCATCGGCTTCTTAACAACAGCCTAACTCCCTGTCTTCAACCCTTTGTTCCAACTCGACTCATCTACACCACAGCTGATGTGACTCCCCCTAAAACGTGGTTTAGATACTATACCTTCTCCCCTAGATGCCTTCAGTGACTCCCCCAAAGGACGCTTCGATTCAAGTATACAAATATCCTTTAAGCACATAGTATATTCCAGGTACTGTACTAGGTGCTGGGAACACAGGGTTCCACCGCAGCCTTAACTTCTCTATCCTCCTATCCTCTATTCAAAATCGATTAGTACCGAAGGCTTCCTTTATTGCCATAGTGCCTCTGCTCAAGAAGTTTCCTCTGCCTAGAAAGCTCTCTCTATCCTACCCCCTCATCATCCCCTTGGAAATATTCCCCAACATTCAAGGACTATCTACCCTGACAAGTTGGTGCAAATCCCGCAGCACTCGAGACTCTCTTGACATTTATATAATCCGCTTGCTTGCACATACTCGAAGCTCAATACACATTTGTAGAACTGAACATATTCTGTGGACGCAGCAATGCTCCTTTGCACGGACGGAACCTCTAGTCTCACTCCCCGCACTGCGATTGGCTCTCCAGTACTTCCACCTCTCTTTCTCCTAGCCCTCTGTGACCGGAAATGACTTGGGGAGAGGGCGCCTCCGAAATCCCATGAATCATAGATTCGAACGACTCCAGGGAAGAGCGGGCTAGAAGGGGTGGGCTCTTCCGGGTCAGATCTGCGCGACCTCAGCTGTCCCGGCTTCCGTTTGGGAGAACAGAACCGCCCCTTTCCCGCGCTCCTCGGCGTCCTCGGCCCGCCCTGACGCTGGGGGTGACGGATGGCGGCGGCGGTAGATTAGGGCCGTGGGTCGAAGCAGGCACGACCGCTGGGGGACCCTGTCGGAAGCAACTGCCGCTGCTGTCGCCTCTTTCATCTCTTCTGAGGCAGGGGCCAGGGCCAGGTGAGGGGAGTGGGGTGCTGGGCACGCAGAGCTGGGCGAGGAGACAGTTTCACCTCAGTAGGACGGTGTCCGGAGACTCTGCCGACCCCACTGGCTCCCCAGTGGCCCCAGCGAAGCGTGAGTGAAAGAGAGAGAGACTGTGTGTGTATGTGCCGACGTCCCTTCGCCTGAGAGTTCGCGAAGCCAAGGGCTCCATTTCATTATAACCAGACTTGTCCAGCATGGTCTCACCGCGGACGCATGTTGAGCGGAGCTTCTCCCTGACTGGGCTGCCTGAGGCGTAGGAACTTCGCCCATTCTCTGCACCGTCGTTCTTCCCCACAAATATCTTCACGTGGAAAGTGGGCTCCATTTTTAGGACCAGAACGAACGTGAACTTCTCTTGGTCTCGGAAAAGGTTTTCATGCAGTTCACTTGGAATGAGTATAGATCCGCTCAGTCAGTCGTTCATTCTCACAGATTGTTAGAAATCTTGCACTTCTTATTGTAAATTCACTGCTGTTCTGACACCGAGTATTTTTTCGTAAAAACCTGCCTTCTTAGAGGCAATACGGTTCATACTAAGTCCTTGTTTCCTCGGAACATTCCAAGGAGAGGATAAGGAGATCCAAGTTTCTTTCCTTCCTAACCGAGTATAAGGGAGACTTCCTAGACTTTTTGAGTTGAGGCTGACTTCTTTCACTTAGCATAATGTTTTTGAAAATCGGATGAATCCGGCTAGTTGTTCACATGCTCTTTACTGATAGTAGCTTTGTTTAGCTCTTAACCACTCGCGGCACAAGTTGTTTGTTTATCCGTAATCGCTGCCTCTCTGTCTCGATTTAGAAGTCTTGAACTGAGCTGACAGTTTGCCCCCCTCCCCCCTTTTTTGGCGTTATGGTTTAAAGCAAAACAAACAAAATCTTTTTGCAAAATTGTCAGTAGGATTTTTCCCTGGAGGTTTGGTATGAACCAGAATGTTGATCTCTGCCCTGACTTGTTGTGTGACCTTGGATGAGTTGCCACACCCTGCTGGTGCCTTTTTTTTTTTTTTAACCCCCAGAAAATTAAGCAAGTATTGTGTGAACTGCTTAGACTTCCTATACACAGTTGGACACTTGTACCTGCACATTTATATCCTGCAGACTGAAAATATTTAAGCCATTGTGAATAAGTACTGTTCATTTGATAATAGGCAGTTAAGCGTTTTGTAAATCCTCTTTACTCTGAATGGCCATGTACTATTCTGAATTGTTTTTTAAATGACTCATTTTCTTATGGAGGAATGTAACATTGAAGTTGAATTCGATTTAAGATGGGTCGCTATGAATCGGAATCAACTTGACGTCAACAGGTTTTTTTTTTTTTTTCCTCGTTTAAGGTTGAGTCCAACCAGTTTTGTAAAGAAAAGTGTGTTCACTAGCTCATCAGTTAGTAAGTCAGTTAATATATGTTATTAATATTAAATACCTTACATAATAAGCCTTTAGAACAAGTGATTTGCAGCAATAATAATAGTTTTAAAAATATTTTTTTAAAATATTTTAGACATACGAAACAATTTTTAAACACTTAGTACCCACCATGCTGCTTTTTATCACTGTTTTTCATACATGATTTTGATTCATATCTTAACCGAAATAAATAGTCACCGAGTTCTTGTTTAATGTATATTACAGAGTTGAAGGGGAGGCATTTTCAGAGTAGCTGATTTTTTTTAATAGCTTCATTGAGACATAATTAGCATACCATACAATCTATCAGTTGTATAATACAGTGATTTTTAGTATATTCACAGAGTTGTGCAACCATTTTCATTACTCTGAAACGAAACACCATAGCCATTAGTAGTCATTCCCCATGCCTGCCCCTCACCCCATCCCTCCCCATCCCAGGCAACCACTAATCTACTTTTTGTCTGTATATAGATTTGCATGTTCTGGACATTTCACAGAAATGGAATTACACAATATTTGGTCTTTTGTGACTGATTTCTTTGACTTAGCATAATGTTTTCAGGATTCATCCATTTTGTAGCATGTATCGTTATTTCCTTTTTATGGTCAAATAATATTCCATTGTATGCGTATGCCACATTTTATTTATTCATCAATTGATTTAGGTTATTTCTACGTCTTGGCTCTTATTAGTAATGAATACGTAATGCTCTTATGAACATTTGTGTATAAGTTCTTGTGTAGACATGTGTTGCCATTTCTCTTGGGTATACCCGGGAGTGGAAAGAAGTAAATTTTATGTCTATTTTGAATTTATGTCTTTAATGACTGTTATGTTTATGTGGAATTTTATGTCCACAAGCTATATACACATAAATGGGAAGCTTAATTAGCCTGTTGCAAAAGTCAGATTTTGTGTATGTGTGTGTGTGGGAAGAGGTGACAGTGAGGCATTCCCTTCTGTATACATTACCTGGAAATGCCAACTGCTGAGTGAAAATATTTTGGGGACAGCTCTAAACACAAGATTGAACTAGAGTATTTCAATTAGGCATGCATGTTCAGTTGGAAGAAGAGAGTCTGCATAACGGTACTTACTGTCTGCTGAGTTTTAAAAATGACACTGAGTTGCATTTCACGGGTGGGTGGGATGAATTTGCAACTTCACAATCTTTATTAGGATTATTTAATTTTACTTCTTTTGAAGAAAGTCTTAGGATTCCATGTTGTTGTCAAGTCGACAGGACTCTAGGAACTAATAAAACATGGATTAGAAAGTGCAGTTATTGGATTTCATGTTAATTTGTGGAATTAAATAAAAAAATTCCCTACTCAAACTACCAGTAAGCCTTGAGTCTAGAGAAGTGGTAGTCAAGAAACTTTATTAATGTTTAAAATTCCAGAGTCTTAATTTATGACTGAGTTATCTGTGGATTTTGAGATTTTTATTTTTCTCTCTATAAACTGGGATTATAGATATGTTCAACTCTGTTACTAGAGTATTTAACAATATTATTACATTATAATTTTATTTTAGTGGAAGTAAATGGTTGAAAAACAAAGAGCTTCCTGAAATAATTTTACTAACTAAAAAAAAATTGTATTTTGATTATTGTTCTATAGGGTTAAGGAATAAAATGTAAGCATGATATTCTGAATTAGTATGTCTGAAGTGGGTGCTAGGAATTTTCTGTTTTTAACAAGCATCTAAAATGATTATGATCAGGCAAGTTTGGGAAAAAAACTACAAAAGGCTCTGATAGTGCTGCAAATTTGCTTTTCATAAGAATTTAGAGTAGAATTCAATATTCACTGCATACCTTTTGGTTATAGTTCATAGGTAAAATGTATCTATTTAACTTCTGCAGTACCATCAGTGCTGGCATCCTGGAATTTGCTCTAGTATCCATAATTGAAAAGGAGCCCTGGTGATGCAGTGGTTAAGCGCTTGGCTGCTAACCGAAAGGTCGATGGTTCGAACCCACAAGCCTCTCCGAAGAAGAAAGATGTGGTAGTCTGCTTCCATAAAGATTATAGCCTTGGAAACCCTATAGGGCAGTTCTGCTCTGTCCTGTAGGGTCTCTGTGAGTCGGAATCAACTCGATGGCAATGGATTTGGTTTTCGTATCCATAAATGAAGTCTGGTCTAAAAAAAGCAAACCATTTATTGTAGCACTGTGGATATTGCATTTGTTACTGAAGGATCATGGTGTTTTACTTGCTACTGGTTGCAGAAAGGAACCCTGGTGATGCAGTGATTAAGAGCTTGGCTGCTGAACAAAAGACTGGCAGTTCAAATCCACCAGCAGCTCCTTGGAAACCCTATGGGGCAGTTCTACTCTGTCCTATAGGGTTGCTATGAGGGCAGCGGGTTTTGGGGTTAGTTGCGGAGATGCCACCAAATTGATGCAAAAACGAAGGATTAAGTTACCCTAAGCTTCCTCAGAGACTATCCATCTGGCTGACAGATACTTGAACAAACTAAAAATCTGTGGCAGGGAAAGGAGCAGATGGGTCACATAAATGTATTCAGTAATTTGTTTGAATTATGCAAAAGGTATGAACTTTTATATTTAAAATTATTCATATATTTAATTATTTTTTGATACCAAGAGAACTAGTATTTAATTCTAAAAGATTCCATTAAGTAAAATTTAGAGAGTAAAAGTAATTTGTCCTTTTCATTATTTAAAAAGAAGTTTGAAGTACCTGTCTTACAGATATGAAACATAATCTGCTTGTATTGGTAAGGCAATAGTGGAGTGGACCTGAGCATTCTCCCATTTCCAGGAAAGCCCTGGGTGGTAGTTCCGAGATCATGTTTACCTTTCATCTAATCTTTTTTTTTTCCTTCCCCATTCTCAAAATTGACAAATTTGCTTATTTCAGTTCTCTGAGTGTTTGATATTAGGAAAACCACCAACTGATATTAGGAAAACAACTTTATTTTTTTGCCATTGCTTCCTGCTAGTGTTAGTGTTTCATCTCTGCTTTCCTCTTACCTAGCGTACTGCCAGGCATGCAGTAAATTTGTGTTGAATGAATGTGGTTAAGGGCTAAGAGTTAGGAAATGAAGAGGCTTCATCTAACCAAGTGATTGTATTGTTAACTAGCTGTTTGATTTTGGGCAAATAGATTGTCTATTCTGGTTTTTCCATCTATAAAATTGAGGCTGTTACCTTTTCCTTCTAACATAGAGGATTACTGGACAACACATGGTAAAGTGCTTTGGAAATAGAGGTGTCATGCAGATGTAATTTATTTATAGTATTAGAAATGCAAGAGCCCATTGTGCAATATGCTATTTAGGCACCGCAGAATGTTGCGAGGGAGGTGGATACTCTCTCTTCCCAGGATGCCCTTAGTGTACATGGCCCTGTAGTAGTGCTGTGGAGTTTACATTTGGCATATTCTCTATTCTTTTGTCCTATAATTTAATTTAATACAAGCACATTAGACATATAATAATGTTCCTGGGATCTGTCTACCCTATCACCTAACCACAGGCCTGAATGAGCTGTTTCATTGCTATACTGGAAACTTAAGCTAAATTAGAAGTTGAATGAATATTTTATACTGTAGGTATGGTATGTTTATAACTAGAATGCCAAATACACATTTAGAATTTAAAAACTGTATACTAAAGTTTAAATGATTAGAGTTTGATGATATTCTCCGTAAGTGTGCATCATTGAGAAATGCTTGAATATATTATGATTCACCAAATATGTGGAGATATGGATATTAACATGGTATATATACTAGAGCTAAGGACTTTATTGTAAATGAGGTAGTGAATGTGGAAGATGGGAAGTTTTGAAATCCATGACTAATGTTGCATTTATAATTTGTCGATTGGGATTTCTAAGAATTTGAAGAACATTAGGCTAAGACTCAAATTTGAGAAATTGGTGAACTATGCTTAGTCTTAGGCTTCTGGCGGGGGAATGAATAAAAGTATCTTCAATAATATGGATTCTTGGTAAATCTCAAGAAGTTTAAATACAACAAATTAGAGAATGTCAATTTTTTTCTTTAAAGCATTATTCAAAATATGAATACTTCTTTATTTTTGTTACCATATAAATACTGACACTTTTTTTTGTTTTTGCATAATATTTTAACATTTCCCTTGTGCTTTTTTTAATTGTCGTGCTTTTAAGTGAAAGTTTACAATTCAAGTTAGTCTCTCATACAAAAATTTATACATACATTGTTTTGTGACCCTAGTTGCTCTCCCTGTACTGTGACAGCACACTCTTTCTTTCCACCCCAAACTTCCCGTGTCCATTCAACCAGTTCCTGACCTCCTCTGCCTCTCATCTCACCTCCGGATGGGAGCTGCCCATTTAATCTCATGTATCTACTTGAGCTAAGAAGCGCACTCTTCGCGAGTACCATTTTATGTCCCATAGTCCAGTCTAATCTTTGTCTGAAGAGTTGGCCTTGGGAATGGTTTTAGTTTTGGCCTAACAGAGAGTCCATGTCTTCCAGGGTCCATCCAGTCTCAATCAAACCATTAAGTCTGGTCTTTTTACTGGAATTTGAGTTCTGTACCCCACTTTTCTCCTGCTCCGTCAAGGACTCTCTGTTGTGTTCCCTGTCAGGGCAGTCATTGGTGGTAGCCAGGCACCAGGTAGTTCTTCTGGTCTCAGGCTGATGAAGTCTCTGGTTTATGTGGCCCTTTCTGTCTCTTGGGCTAATACTTCCTTGTGTCTATGGTGTTCTTCATTCTCCTTACTCCAGGTGGGTTGGGACCAATTGATGCATCTTAGATGGCTACTAGCTAGCTTTTAAGACCCCAGACACCACTCACCAAAGTAGGATGCAGAACATTTTCTTACTAAACTTTGTTATGCCAGTTGACCTAGATGTCCTCTGAAACCATGGTCCCCAGACCCCCACCCCTGGTACTGTATCCCTTGAAGTGTTTGGTTGTGTTCAGGAAACTTTTTAGCTTTGGTTTAGTAAATACTGACACTTGTTAAAGCTTAAATTATTACTGATTTGATCTGTTCTCCCCCTCTTTTAGGACTTTACTTCATAATTTATTCCTTGCTATCTATATTTATTTATAACTTCTTATTGGCTTCTTTTTTACTGAGTATAAACAGGCTTAAGTCTCTTTCATTGTGTACAAAAACAAAACTAAACAAATGAACTCTTGTCAACCCTTTGTCTCTCTCTGGCCTCCATTCTTTTCTTCTCTTCAAAATAAACTCTTTCTTTGAAAGAATAGACTAAAACTCACTTTCCCTACTTCTTCCCATTCATTCTTCACTCCCTAACTTCTTATCCTTGCCCCTGCCAGTCTTCCAGAACTGTTCTGTCAGAGATCACAGATAACTTCCTAATGCCCAAATCCAGTTGATTTTCCATTTTCATTCTTTTTTTATTGTAACCATATATGTAACAAAACATTTGCCATTTTAACATTCTTCGCATAAACGGTTCAGTGACATTAACTTGTGTTCTTCATGTTGTTCACTCATCACCCTTATTCATTCTTCTTGATGTGTTGTTACATTTGACACATTTGTTCACTATCTTCTTGTTGAAATGCCCCTCTGGCTTCTGTGACTCCACTCATTCCTGGTTTTCTTCCTACCTCTGACTGTTCCAATCCAGACTGAGAAGTCTCCTTTTCTCATTTTTGGCCCACCCCATCATAAATGTTAGTGTTGCTCTGAGTTCTAATTATGTTTCTTTTTCAGATTACACCAGTATTTCTCAGCGTATATTTTCTTAACCTATGTACCGTTTTGGTAAATAAAAATTTCCCTTGCTCCTATTCTGGTAAGAGGGGTGTAGTTATTCTTCTCTCCTGTCCCTTATGAGAATCATGGATACAAATAAGATTGAAAATTTACTGTGCTTTACTTCATATAGTTTGTAATCTGAAAACAATAGATAATTTTTCCTTTTCCAAGTATGAAACTGTATACTGAACATATTTCTTCAAACTATATTACTTCTCCCCTCCTGAAATTATGAAACTTCCTTCCTGTTAACAGTAACTGCTTTTCATCCACTCTTTTTAAGTAATTTCATTGACTTGCATCTGTGTAGTGTATTTACAATTTTATATTTCCAGTCCAGACCTCTTTCCTAGTTTAAGACCTGTTTGTCCAGCTACTTACTGTACATCTCCACCTGGACAACCCATGTGTTGTATGCTTAAGAGTCAGTTCCTACTCATAGCGACCCTACAGGACAGAGCAGAATTGCCCTATGTGGTTTCCAAGGCTGTAATCTTTATGTAAAGCGGATTGCCACATCCTTCTCCCACTGAATGGCTGGTGGGTTCAAATTGCTGACCTCTCTGTTAGCAGCTTATTGCTTAACCACTGTACCACCAGGGTTCCTTGAACAACCCATAGGTACTTTAAAATGCATTATGCCCCAAAGTGAACTTGTTATCCTTTTCTACAAAACCATCTCTTCCTGTATTGTTGGAAAAATGGGAGTAATACCGCTTTCCATAAGCCTGTTTGGATTCCTTGCTAGTTAACGTCTTTGCATTTTCTTCCTTAACATTTTTCCTATCCATCCCCCTCTTTCCAGTATTCCTGCTCCAGTTCAGATTCTCATACTTCTTTTTAAAAATTTCCAATATTTCCCTAAATCGTTTTCTTGCCTCCAGTCTCCCTTCTGTCTTCCACACTGCCTCTAGGGTGATTTTTCTATAATCTGTTAAGATGCCTCCATTATTTCAAATCCTTTAGTGACTCCTTACAGAGTTCTGCAGTAGTTTTTAATCTGTTTTGTATCCTGGAGTAGTTTGAGAATCTGATGAAACCAACGGAGTGACTTTCCAGAAAAATGCTCATGCACACAGAATTTGCATACAGTTTGGGGAGGTCATAAATGCCCATTCATGGACATAGTTAAAATAATTCCTGGCCTCCAGGGTAAAATCCAAACTTCCTAGCATGCCATAGTGTACAAAACACACCAAATGCTGACTGTTGTTACTCTTGCTGAGCCCCCTTATATCTTATGATCTAGATATGCCAGACTCCTTAATTTTTGTATTGCTTCATGCTGTTTCAAAAGACTTCTTTCTGTACCTCATCCTAGTCTTCTTTATGTTTAACAGTCATCCCTGTCCTATTAACTGGTTCAATTAGTGAACACCTCCTGTTCCAACATTGGCTCAGGTTTTACTTTATAAAGCCTTTCATGATTTCCACTTCCTTTTACCCTTCCCCTAGAGAGACTTGCCTGCTTCCTCTGGGAAATGTAGTCTTCAGCTGTGTGGCCATGGGCCTAGCTAAAATTTAGGAGGTTTTATTACTAAAAGAAGGAAGAACATATACTGTGAGGAGCTGAGGGGAGAGTTTGAGGGGTAAAGTAGTTAGTGTTTTCACCACATAGGTAAAAACAGAGAAACTAGAAAGAGACTTCTTATTGGGTGCTGTGGAGGAGATTCCAACTCATAGTGACCCCACATGAGAGACTAGAACTGCCACATAGGGTTTTCTTGGCTGTAATCTTTACGGAAGCAGATCGCCAGTCTTTCACACACACAGCCACTGGGTGGGTTCGAACTGCCAACCTTTCCATTAGCAGCTGAGCACTTAACTGTTGGGGCACCAGGGCTCCTTAGAAAGGGGAAGAGAAATTTGCTTTTGATCTGAAATCTGAATAAATTCCCACTTGTAAGTAAATGAAACTTACATTTCTTGAGATTACTGTGAAGAAAAGTCTGAGAAATATTTACTTTTTTATCTAGTTGAATAATTGGAGTTAATTATGGGAAAATATACTTGTATATTATAACCTTTAAACTGAAAAAGTATGTTTTATGTTTTTAGGTTTTACACATCTCTAAGTAGATATCTTTGGAGTTCTGCTGGCCAACTCAATGGCGTCCTCTACTGCTGTGCCTCTAGGATTTCACTATGAAACAAAGTATGTTGTTCTCAGCTACTTGGGACTCCTCTCTCAGGAGAAGCTACAGGAGCAGCATCTTTCCTCACCCCAAGGTATTGTCTTTGACTTAATGATGGTGGTACTAAGTAGGAAAAAGGGCTTTATATATAAAAGTATATTTTAATTTATATCTGAATAATTTATATGTGTTTATAAAATCAAGTAATACTAATAGGCTTATAAAAAATAACACTTTACCTTATCTTTTCCCACCCTCCAATTCCAAAACCCAGATGCAACTCTTTCAATACTTTTTAAGAGCTTGATACTTTAAATGATTGCTGTTTTGGTACAGATAAAAATGTGCTATATACATGTAAATAAATAGAAATCTATGTCTTTAAAGATTTCACACTTAAGACATGGCTTAGAATTGCGTCATTATTTTTTTGTTTCCACATTTTTTATGTGTACAGTTCAGTGACATTAATTACATTCATCATGTTGTACAGCCGTCACCACTATCCATTTCCAAAATTTTCCATCACCCTTAACATAAGCTCAATGCCCCTAAATAGTGACTCCCTCTTTCCCTTCCCTCCCACTCTTGGTAGCCACTAATAAACTTTACTGTCTGTACATTTGCCTATTTTAGATATTTCACATAAGTGAGATTGTACACTATTTGTCTTTTTATGACTGACTTATTTCACTCAGTGTAATGTTTTCAAGGTTCATCATGTTGTAGCATGTATCAGGACTTCATTTCTCTTTCTGGCAGAGTAATATTTCGTTGTGTTATGTATACTACATTTTGTTTATACATTCATCTATTGAGGGGCATGTAAGTTTTTTCTCCTTTTGGCTATTGTGTATAGTGCTTCAGTGAACATTGGTATACATATATCTGTTTGTGTTCCTGCTTTCAGTTCTTTTGAAATTCTGGTTTATGTGCTAGGTAGTCCTGTGGAATTTTTGTGTGTCAGGCTTCTGTACTCAGTACAACCTCTAAACTGTTTTCGACAGCGGCTGTACCGTTTTTCATTCTACCAGTATCCTTGCCAACACCTATTGTTTTCCTTTTTTTTTGGCATTTGATTATAATGTGTCTTGGTGACTTTCTTTTGGGATCTCCCTTATCTGGGGTTCGATGAGTATCTTGGATAGATATCTTGTCATCTTTCATGATATCAGGGAAGTTTTCTGCCGACAAGTCTTCAACAGTTCTCTCTGTATTTTCTGTTATCCCCCCCTGTTCTGGTATTCCCATCACTCATAGGTTATTCCTCTTGATAGAGTCCCACATAATTCTTAGGGTTTCTTCATTTTTTTTAGTCCTTTTATCTGATTTTTCCTCAAATAAGTTGGTGTCAAGTGCCTTATCTTCAGTCTCACTAATTCTGACCTCCATTGCCTCAATTCTGCTCGTGTGACTTTCTGTTGAGAGACTAATTCTGAAATTTTATTGTTAATCTTCTGGATTTCTGATTGCTGTCTCTCTATGGATTCTTGCAGCCTGTTAAATTTGTCATTATGTTCTTCTCTAATCTTTTTAATTTCCTCTATTGCGTGTTCTGCGTTTTGCTTAATTTCCTTTCTAATTTCTTGAAGAGTTCCGTATATTAATCTTTTGTATTCTGCCTCTGATAATTCCAAGAAATTTTCCTCCTCTGGAAAATTAGTGGATTCTTTATTTTGGGAGCTCGCTGAAGCCATCATGGATTGCCTCTTTATGTGATTTGATATTGGCTGTTGTCTCCGAGCCAGCAATAAGTTATTCTATTTATTTATTTTATGTTTGCTTACTGCATCCTAGCTTCTTGGTTTGTTTTGATATGCCCAAATAGGCTGCTTATATGAGCTGATTTGATTATTGGCACCTTTGAAGCTCTAATGTCCTGTCACCAGGTGGTTAGATCTGATATTAGGTATATGAGCTCAGGAGTCTGCCCACTCCTCCTATATGGATTCAGCTCAGGTGCCCAGGTAGATAGCCACCAAGTGTGTGGTGTAGGCTCTCATTTACAGTCCTACACAGGCATAGGTGATTGGTGTAGACACAGGCATCTGGCTGCAGCAGGGGGACACACTTTTAGCAAGGTAGGGAGCTGATGGCCGCCCTGAGTGTCCAGGAGGAAGGCGTGTCCCTGCTCCCTAGAGTGCATAGGTGATTGGGTTTTGCAGCCAGACTATGAGCACTCCATGGTTTTGGCTGTAAGGACTGGGGGGCACCTCTTATTCTTGGGCCCCTATCTCAGGCAGCTAGGTTGCATGGGTGGAGCCACCAGTCCTCAGGCCCTGATGTGGGTAGGTGAAGACCCTGCTTAATGGGCAGAACAGTGTTAAATGTCACGAACCTGCCACTTCACAGCTGAAACAGTTGAAGTTAGACTTCAGGTATATACCCTGTTGTACTGCGGTAATGAGGGCCTGCACTGTTGAAACGGTCCCACACAAGTCTCTGCAGGGGGATAGGCACTCAAAGTCCATGGATCCCTTGTGCCTGTGCTAGGCAAAGGAGCTGTGCCCACCCTGAGTTCCTGGCTTAGGGGAGCTGGCAGTTTATTTTCTCCCGTTTGTTAATTTGTTCACTCTCCAAGGCCGGGAGAATGGCTCAGGGCATGTGAAGGATCCTAATTCCCACCCAGGGGACTTGGCAGTTGCTGAAGCCGGTCCAGGACCCAGTGCAGAGCAGGGAGTGGGGAGGTAAATGAGAGAGGTTTTTCCCTAAGGGGGTTGTTTTTTGATCTGCACTGTAGGCTGTACACAAGTACTTATCTGTTGCCGATCGGGGGCTGCTTCTCACTGGTTCTGGGTGGGTGAATAGACTCTCTGGGGCTGGGTCTCTCCTGGTGCGGAAAACGCGCCTCCCGAGCACCGCTGCTTGCCTGCCTCACCACTCACCCATGAGCTGATCAGGCCTGAAGGGCTCAGGCTCTGGCCGGGTCAGGTCTGGCAACTTCTCACTGCTTCCAAACCGTTTCTCCCTCCCCCTGCCCCTCAGTCCGGTTCCTCAACTTTGCCTTCGATGTTCAGGGCTCCTAGATTGTCATATATAATTGATTCACTTGTTTTTTCAGGTCTTTGTTGTTTTCGGGGCTTTGTTAGCCCCGCCTCCCCCCCCCCCTTTTTTTTTAATCATGGCCATGTTAGTGAGGGTGAAGTGATACCTCATTGTGGTTTTGATTTGCATTTCCCTAATGCTAGTAACATTGACCATCTTTTCATGTGCCTCCTAGCCATTTGTATTTCTTCTTTGGTGAATATCTGTTCAAGTCCTTTGCCCAGTTTTTTTTTGATTGAGTTGTTTGTCTTTTTGTTGTTAAGTTGTAGGATGTCTTTATATGTTCAAGATATTAAACCTTTATCACATATATAGTTAACACAGTTTTTTTTCCCAATCTGTAGGTTGTCTCTTCACTTTGTTGATAAAGTCTTTCGGTGAACAGAAGTTTTTAATTTTGATGAAGTCTCATTTATCTTATTTTATCTTTTATTGCTCGTGCTTTTGGTGTCATATCTAAGAACCCATTACTAAATACTAAGTCCTGAAGTATTTGTTTTCTACTAAGAGTTTTATGAAGTTTTAATTCTTATATTTAGGTCCTTGGTCGATTTTGAGTTAGTTTTCATATGTGGTGTGAGGTATACGTCCACCTTCATATTTTTGCATGTGGAAATCCAGTTGTTCCAACACCATTTATTAAAGAGACTATTCTTTCCTCATTGGATGGACTTAGCACTCTTGTTGAAATCAATTGACCATAGATGTGTGTGTTATTTCTGGAGGACTCTCAATTCTGTTTCATTGGTCTGTATGTCTATTGTTATACCAGTATCAGACTGTTTTGATCACTGCAGCTTCATAGTATGTTTAGCTTCATAGTATATTTTGAGATTGGGAAGTATGAGTCTTCCTACGTTGTTCTTCATTTTCAAGATTGCTTTGACTATTTGGGGTCCCTTGTACTTCCATATAAGTTTGAGGATTGGGTTTTTCATTTCTGCAAAGAAGGCTGTTGGAATTTTGATGGGGATTACATTGAATGTATAGATTGCTTTGGGTAGTATTGACATCTCAACGAAATTAAGTATTCCAATCCATGAACACAAAATTTCCTTTCATTCATTTAAGTCTTCTTTAATTTCAGTAATGGTTTCTAGTTTTCAGTGTGTACGTTTTTCACTTACTTGGTTAAATTCAGAACCCTGGTGATACAGTGGTTAAAGCACTGGGCTACTAACTGAAAGGTTGCCAGTTTGAACCCAGCAGCAGCTCCATGGGAGAAAGATGTGGCATTCTGCTTCTAGAAAGAGTTACGCCCTTGGAAACCCTTTGGAAAGTTCTGCTTTGTCCTGTCGGGTTATTCTGAGTTGGAAATGACTCGATGGCAATGGGTTTGGTTTTGGTTGGTTAAATTTAGGAGTGCCTGGTTGATGCAGACAGTTAAGCACTTGATTGTTAACCAGAAGGTTGGCATTCAAACTCACCCAGAAGTGCCTCAGAAGAAAGGCCAGGCTGTCTGCTTCTGAAAGGTTACAGCCATGAAATCCTTATGGAGCACAGTTCTACTCTGCAACAGGTGGGTTCACCACGAATTAGAATAGACTCGACAGCAACTGATTATTTGGTTATGGTTAAATTTATTACTGAGTATTTTATTCTTTTAGATGTTGTTGTAAATGCAATTGTTTCCTTAATTTCCCTTTCAGAATGCTCATTGCTGATAATATAGAAACCCAACACACAAAAATCTGTCAGGTTTCTATATATCAGCAGTGAGCATTCTGAAAAGAATTATATTAAAATTTATAGTAGAATTAAGTTCCTTAAATTGGCTTTATTTCGGAGATATTAGATTTACACAATGAATTCATATGTCTGATAGACTTAGAGAGTTTTTAGCTTTAGGGATTATTTTATTCTTTGTATATATATATTCTATATATCCTTTTTAAAAATAGTTTGCCAAACCAAGCTTAAAACAGTTACCGGAATCTGAAGTAGTCTTCTTCATAAGATATTAAGATGAAACTTCATCTTCTTAAATATTTTTATCCATAAATTCCTACTGTAGTCATTGAGGTAGTTCTTATTTATTTATCTGCTGGC